GTAAAGCGAGTGAAATTTGCTTCAAACTGGTTCAACTTGGAACAGAGAAATCAAAAGGTGTCAGGGCGCGTGACCCAAGTTTTAATGGGTTAGAGAAAACTGATTATTATTCGAATTTAGGGGTAGAAGTGCGAAACGTTTACAGCTCAAAACACCCATTAAGGAAACAATTTCCTTTGCGGTACGAATAATAATCTTGGTTTGTAGGAATAATTATAAGACTCTGAGTGTTCGCTTACGAGGGCTTAAAAACAAAAGAAAAGTCCAGTTGGGTAATCCCATATATAAGTCACAGTTCAGTTTCACAAAGGTGGTCCTAACTAGAGCTGGTCACTTACTAGAGTGGTCGCAAGGAGAGCTTTCACAATTATTGTTTCTAAAATACTAAACAGTAAATCTGCTTCTATTCCCAGCCACATTTATATTGATGTTACTGCCTACCAACCTTTCTTTTGTGGTAGCAACTTGGTATTTCTCTTGGAAGGTTTTCACTTCCTCTCTAAGTCACGTTCTGCCGCAAGGCTACCAAACAAGTCTTCATTTTCCTTTTTGAGACGGTCATTTTCAATTGGCAGCTTTCCATTTTCTATTTTGTAATCATCTTTGATTTTGATGACTTCCTCATGGTTCTGATTTAGAACAACAAATCGCTTCTCCAAAACAGAATACTTTCTTGTCTCATTGTGTAAAGCAGTCAATATTTCATCCCTGTGTTTTTTAATTTCACTGTTTTCACCTTCCAGTGTCATGGACCTTTTAAGAGATTCATCTGCACGCTGCTTTAGAATGCAAATAAGTTGACACTGCTGATCAATGCGGGAACGCAAGAGTCCATTTTCTGTTAAATCATCTTTTGACAATGCCCTTAGCTTTTCCAAGTTTGCTTTCTTCTGGGACATCCATACATTCATACTAAAACAAAAGAAAAGTTCAACAAAGGGTAAGTCTTGATTTGCAAGTATTATTTTATTCATCTAGTTACAGTATTGCACAAGGTCCTTTATGCGGCCCTGTTAGGCTAAAATTCTGACAAGGGACATTGCCTTGAAACAGCAACACAGGACAGCAGAATTGGCAAAAAATGACACAAAGATGGGTAGAAACAGTGACAGCAACAAAGAAAAGTACAAATACAATGGTAAAATACCGACAGCAGCATGGTTTCCTCCTCAATATGTGAAACAACAGGGTTAAATGCAGACTAGGGACATATGTACCCCACCATCCCCACCCTCACCCCCTCCCAAGAGGGTCTCCTTTTTGGGCTCGTTTTCAGTCAGTTACCATGAAAATTACAGAAACTGAGATTTGCAACATTGAAGGCATGTTTTCAAGGCCAGTCCACTCTAAAAGAGAATTCCACTATACAGACTGTCTGACCTGATCATTACATTCCTAAACGAAACTTACACACGACGATGATGGATTTTCAGCGAGAAACCTTGACGAAAAGTTTATTTTGTTTACAAACTGACTAGTCCGGCTGACCAGTTCTGACTTAAAAAGCACCCTTTAATTAGTCAAACCCCAACAACTATCTGAGCCCATATTAACGGTCCTACCCCTCCCATAAAACGGACAAAGATGTTAGAAAAATTAACATTTATGGAGTAAAATGTTACAGGTCAAAATTAAATTCAGGTTAAAAGTTCTGAAACTAGGTTGATTCTCAATTTCCTTCGTATCCTAACCCTAATTATTCATTAATAAGGACTAGAAGACAAAGGAAACTGAGACTCAACCTAGTAGGTTCAAAAATTTTAACCTGAAATATAATTTTAACCATTATGATAAGCTCTGAATACTTTCGCTTGCCAAGACACTCTGGCGGGACAAAAATATGCGATATATTGACCATTCTTAGCTTTCCGATCAGCCTTGCATTGTATTCAATATTTTCTTTTACCACAGCATAAACATATTTAGCTTCAATAAAAAATTATTTTTTAAAGCAATTCAAAGCTCGGTCAGAGAAAAGAAGTATGGACTACTTCACGAAGCTTTTTGGGAGACTTTCCTCCAGATCCACTGCTTGAAGCCATATAAATTAAGCCCAGAGTTTTAAGTCTTACCAGTTGACTTTTTCATGAAACATCAACAAGTCAGCCCAAAACTATAAAGTCAATTCGCTTTCCATGAATCATGCAAGCGAAACATCTTCAGTTCTACCAAGTTTTCAGTAGATAAATGTTAAGGAATGGTTGCCAAAAAGGAGGTACAGCGGGTTTAAAAGTTCTTTAGCTTTAAAAACTCCAAGTCTCCTAGTAGTTTTCTTCGTCATGGCCGGTTGTTTGATGACAAAGTCACATCACCAGGAGAAACTTCCTAGTGCCCAGACCCCCAACGCTGACGCTTTTCTGCTCTCGCCTACCACGCAGGCGTTTTTAGGGGAGCTCGTTTTTCATCCCTTCCTTGTGGGGAGGGATGAAAAACGAGCTCCCCTAAAAACGCCTGCGTGGGAGGCTACGAGGGCTCCCGAGGGTTTGAAACATGGTTCAAGTTTTAGACCATAAGGTTATGGCTTGGTTTACACTATACCGGATTGCCTAGCTATCCCCTATAATATAAACACCCGCTCATGCATACTGCGCCAGAGTAGCACAGACCCCTTTTTTTTTATAAATGTCTTTTGCGTAGGTTTTACAAATTTCTATCGCTTACCCGAGGTGAACCGAATAGTTGTGTCGTATGGGCAAAGAAATTTACAAAAAGGTATGATCCACGAGCAGAGTTTGCCTTGTTTTTTGCTCAGCCGAAACTGGCTTTGTTTGTTGTTGCTTGCTTGTTTATTTGGTTTTTTTTTTACTTTCCCGTTGTTGCCGCCTTCTCGTTCCTTAAAATACCGACACGAGTTTTCCCAATGAAATATCTAGAAACGACATATATTTTTTTCATGCACATGGATTCCTCTTCAAACTCTTGCTCTTTACAAATTGAATGACATGTCACTGACATGTGCAAACATATCATCTTGGTTTCAATAGACCTGTCTGTTGGATTTTATGCACGCAGTTATTCAATTCAGTCCTTCAAAACTAGATGCTGTTGTTTTTCTGGAATCGGAGATAGTAATAAATACTTTCTTGAAGTAGCCTTGATGCACAAAAATCTGGCAGTGCACGACCGTGGTCGACGAATAGAATCGTCACATAACGAAGAATAACAGACACCCTACTTCACGAGGTTGCAAGACGAGGAAACGTGAACCAACTCAATCGACGCTTGCAAAACTGATGAAAGCGCTTTTTGAAATGGGTAGAATTTTACAAGAAAAGGATGGAAAAGGTAAAACTCCGCTTTTTGTGGGCCCGGAAGGGGGGGGGGCACTCCCTTATAGCCACATAGGTATGTGCCGCCTCATCGGGTATGGTTTTGGCGCCGTTTTGGTCTGAAAACGGGTATACACTTTGCCCATTTTGGTCTGGAATCGGGTATGGTTTTCGAGGGAACTACGGAGTGTATGAACGTATTTATCGTTTCAATTCCAAATGATTAAGAAAGAAAGAAAAATATGCGAATTTAAAATGGATGTTTTAAATGATGTTATAATTTTTTTTTTGTCCAATGGAGAGGATGTTTATTCAAGACACTACCGTGGACAAACGGCTTTCCTGTAAGTTTGTAGAAGAAATGTAAGAAGTGTTGTAGATTTACTCGCGAGAAAGAGAGCGCGTATCCACGACATCGACAGTAACGGGCAACGTAGAATTCATCACGCCGCGCTAGGCAATAGACGTGACGTTTCGTGACCAATCTCGACCAAGAGCTCTCCTGCGCATGTAGAAGAGAGAGACCCGTAAGCACTGGGGTTGAGAATGGTTCGTGACGTCCTAGAGCTGCTAATAGGTGAATTACAAGCCGATATTCACATCCCAGACTGGAGAAACCGGCTTGCTCTTCATCACGCCGCGGTAGGCGGACACATTGAAAACGTCGTATTTCCGCTTCAGAATCGTAATTGTTTAAATTCTAAATCTCGTGTCATTGCAGAATGCGGGGTAAATCCCTTGCGAAAAACTTACCGCAGGACGACAACTTTGCACTACGCTGCTCAACATGGTCATGCCAATATTATCAGACTGCTTGTGAAGCATGGGACTAGCCTGCGTGGCAGGCGTTTGAAAGGGAAGGGAAAGGGAGTTTTAGGTGCGAGAGAAACGCGAGGGGCGCGCACCCCTCGCAAGAAAGAATAGGGCGCGCGTATTTATCGTGCCTTAATGGTTAAAAACGATTTAATGCTTTGTGTTTATCGTCGGTTTATTGCTCCATCGCCCGTTAATCAGATAACCTAAGATCTTTCAGATCTTTAATATAACAGATAGACCGAGGATATAAATGTACAACGCTTTGGCACGCTTTGCGATGAATACCGGAGTTCGAGCGACAAAGGAAAAGTTGGTTTGGAGAAACAAGGAGAGTTTTTACAGTTGAAAACTGTGAAAAAACCGGTCGTATTATATCATTTAACTTTTTCCTTAGTCTTAGTCTCCTGGCAAATGGTTTTGAGACACTTGCTTTTTTCATTTCGCTTAATTGTGTGAAATTTGCAAGTAGCCGTCTAACTTACACTTAAAAGTGCAGCATTCACAAGTTTTCTCCCCCACTCCACTACCCTTCCTGGACAATGTTAACGTCCATAACCTGTACAAAATATCCAAAGAGTTTGACTATTTACACCCAGCCTTGACCATGGCGGGAAAGAAGATTTAAAAACTAAAGTACGTTTTTATGTAAGAAAGAGTTGTTCAAAGAGGGTCGGATGGTGGGGTTCAAATGTCAGTTGTCAGTTCAAATTTGGCCATTTTTCAGTTACTCTCATCCAGACCCTCTTAATTAAAAACCCTGGCCAGGATTATAGTGGACTTGAGGCGGAACTACATCTATTGAGTACCTCTCTACTAGGGATATACTCCTACTATGATATTATATATGAAACGGATGCTAAATATTTCCTCATTGAAATCTGATTCCTAATTTTATTACATTGTCAAACAAATGAGTCATTCTTGGTCCCTTGGTCTGCGTTTGTGCTGGTACCTTTGGAGGAATACTAAACCAACTTCGTGACATAACTGCAGGAATTTTTCTTCTTCTTCAGAATATCCTTGAATTATGTTATCTAAGCGCTGAAGAACGAACTTTTTCTGTTTTTCCAGCTTCTGAAACTCACGTTTAACAACGTCTTCTGAGAAGCGTACTCTACGGTGCTGTTGTCTTTGTGACGGTCTTTCTTTCGTCACTTTGTGTTCATCGCTACGGGCGAACTTTTTCAAAATATAATCACTGATTTTATCATACAAGGATTTTCCCCTAGTGTTGGCAATTACCTTCTTCTCTGATGAATTTTCCACGCTTTTTGTTCTGGATGCTACAATTGCTTGGCTGATAGCATCAAAATTGAGCACTCTTCTTTTGCTGGGATTTTCGACACAATTTCTAATGTCTTTTTTCCTCATCTTCACTGTTTCTTCATAATTTCCTCTCGTTTGTTTTATACGTTCACTTATAGCGTCAAATAAGCGTTTATTTTCTCCTCCCTTTTGGCTCCTATCTTCGTCCAGAAGGTCGTAAAGCTCATTTTCAGTCGCGAAGACCTTTGCATTCATAAGAGCATCGTGAATAATGGCGATAAAAAAATTCATGGCCAATATCGTCAGGGTAAAGAGAAGTAAGACGGCAAAAATTCTTCCAAAAGTGTCGTTGGCATCTGTTAGTTCATTGATGGGTCTCGCTTTCACGCGCCCCAGAGTCAGTTCGAGTTGAAAATACGTGGCTGTGAGTATCGACGAGTAATGCCTCGAACCCGTCCCGAAGATCAAAACACCGAAATGCAGAAAGGCAGTAAAGCATATCAACATAAGAACGGTAAAGGATGGCAACAGCCGTGCAGATGTCTTCAGTGTTTTTGAAAACACGACAACATGCTGGTTGAAGCGAATAAGTCTCAGAAGTTTGGCAGTGACGATAAATGTTAGAATTCCCAGAACAGCGTTCTCTGTTTCAAACCAAATGATGTTTTCTTGGAAACTTACGTTTGCGTAAATGTTTTTCTGCAGTTCCTGAATCTTAGAGGTCGCCTTTTTGGATCTCACGATGTATATTACTACAGCCAACAAAGAAAATATTACTTGGAAAATTTCTACCCAACCCCATAAGGATTTAAAATATCGAGAACGTTGTTTGTACAGTCTGTAGCACTCTCTTCCGAGGTACAAAGCGACTAATATGATAAAGAACAGAACACAGATGAGGTAAAATTGCTGCGAACCAGCCCCTGTTGAGTCCAATGAAATCACTTCGGTTCTTGTGAACGGAGCGCTGTAACCGGAAGCACCTACCTCATAGAAATACGTCGCAAAGCAAAGTAAATTAACAGATGGATTGAAAGAGGAAAATTCTAATATAATGGCTCTGGTTCGCTTGTCGAGCCAGTCGTTGCTTTGTAGTGTCTCTATAACGGTAAAGCCCGTCGAGTTTTCATAACCTAAGTCGGCCACGAAACCTCCTCCAGGATAAACAGAGAACTGTCCCCACTTAGGAACCGTGTCCGTATCCTCGGCACCTTGGTATCTCCAAGGCTTTGGGCAAAGTCGGAAAAGTTCGTCTTTATTCGTGGAGTTGTCGATAGGTTTCCAACCTGGCTTGTTGAAGGATGTCTTATCTTCGTTTAAGCGTGAGTACCCGCCGTAGCAAACAGGAAACATATGTTTCATGGAATTCAAAACATCACAAGTCCCTGCAAATGTTTAAAAAGAAAATGAGCGTATCAAAGGAGTATAGATAATTTCGACAAGGTTTGGGGTAAGAACATAAATTTCCCTCAGTTCCTTCATATCGTACTTAAGTATGCGACCCCTTTTTTCGCTTAGACTATTATTTTTCTTTACATACTTGTAGATTACTAGCTATAGCTATCGCTAAGTGTCAACGAGCAAAGATTTTACCTATACGCGCGCGCTGTTGAATTTGTTTAGAAATGTCCTGAAATACAGCAATTGATGAAAAATAGATTGAACTTAATTCGATCGCATTGAAAATAGTGCAAACTTAAAGCAAGGGGCACACCTACACCAACCCACAGCCGGGCCAGTACCTCACGCATGCGCATAGCCATATCACGCGGGCAGTGGCAGCGTTATTATTCTTCTTAGCGGCATGCAATAAAAACTTCCAGCGGGCAAATGCGACAGATATCGCGTAGGACGGAAATGATCCACCTGACGATTGGTTGAAGACGGCATGAGCACGGGACTCACAAACATCCGCACAGCTCGTGGATTCTCTGCTCTGTATCACGTGTTCGCTCGAAAACAACGCATTCTCTGTTCTGCATTACGTCATGGTTGCCTTACATTACTCTATGTTACGTCGATTCGAGATTTTTTCTGCCCCTGGAACAATCGCGCATGGCTCTATTAGGATTGTGCCTCGCAGCCTCGCGTCTTCGCGAGGCTGCTCGTTGGCAATTAATACATATACAAGCAAACACAAACAAGCGCAGTTGTTGTTTTTGTGGACGGCTGCGTTTGCTGTATTCGTTCCTGACAGCAGTATCAGATTCATATTTAAGCTGCCACCAAGAATATAAAATGATGATGCAAAACTATTAGGAAAAATGGCCTACGTTGCATTCTCGAGAGTCACATTGCGTAAGCACTGAGGTCGAGATTGTCCTACGTCGCATTTCCACTCCTTCTGCGCATGCGTCTACAACCGATGTTTACCAGTACGCGGGGAAGATGACCACTTATTCGCACTTTATGAGAGTATTTTGAAAAGAATGACGTGCGCAAATTTTTTTGTTTTTTTTCTTAATTTTTAAAAAAAAAGTCCAAACTCACCAGGTTGAACTCTAAGTTGCCTTCCTCTAGCCATTCCTACCAGGACTGAACGTTTATTTCCGATGTACATGGTTTGATTCTCGGGACGTCCGTTGTACCATCTACCAGCAAATACACCCGGTAAAAAAACATTTTTAACCCAGCTCCAGTACTGGTTCTTGTTAAAAACCTGGTATCCCGAAAACAAAAAAGCGAAAATAATATGAACAAAAAATTGTCGTGGTTCGTGTACTAGTTTTGTTAAAAAAGAGTTCTACCATGCTAGAAGGAAAAACGGCAAATGCAAATCAGTCAATCAATCAATCAATCAGTTAGTGGCATGTAGAGAAAAAGACGCCATCTATTCTGTTTTTGGTTCACATTGGTAATCTCCTTGAACGCATACACTCTTGAGGCTTCAACAAAGTCAAAGCAACTACGCAAACATATCTTTGCTGCGAAAAGAATCTGACTACTTTTCCTGTTACTTATGCAAGGGCTAAACTAGGGAAAATCGCGGCTTTATTTTCCGGGGGCGGGGTGTATTAAACTGTGTTTTGACGGAGCCGTCAGAGGCCCAAATCGTTCTCTTTTGCTTACCACTAAAACAGTGCGCTTTTCATATCCTCACAGAAACGATTCGAGTAGTCTCCTACCATATTTAAGGGAATCAGCCATTGGGCATGTTCCAGTGGCAGTTCTGAAATTCTTACCCTCTGATATATTGTTAGCTCAAATATAGTAACCAGGAAGTAATCCCACAGGCCCAGCTAGAGGATCTGGTGAACGATGATCTCGGTTTTCTGCCGCTAAACGGAAAGATACTTTTTCCCAGCAAGCAATCATAGAAGAAAAGAGAAAATATTTCAGCAGTATTTTTAAGGAAATTTTACTTACTGTTTCAAATCTTGGCAGTCCTTCTGTGATGGATGTTTTCATCATGTATCGATGTTCATTTCTGCTACCATAACAAACAACCATCAACAAGAAAACAAAAATAAGGTAGATTAAAAGCTCCACAAAGAACCGAGATATATTTTGTTTTTTCGCCTGACGCCTTCTCATCTCCTCTACTTCTTTCAGCTTCATCTTCCATAAATGTCCTTTTGTTGAAGTTCGAGTTTTAGCCTCTTTTACGTATTCGTTACCATCTTTCTTTCTCTTTTTTCTGATTATCATAGCTGACAGTACTATTGCGGTAAAGAACACTTTGACTGGCTCAGTGATGGCCACATCCTGGGTGAAAGAGATAAACATGGAAGACAGCCATTGCTCACTGATTTCCTTTCCCCAGAGCAAGCTGTAGAAGATGGTAAACGTCGTTGAGACAGAACATGAACAAACGAATAAAAACCAGGCGAAGTAAATGAGACACTTTGCTTTCCAGCAAACACGGGTTTGACTCTCGGCGTTTCTGGCAGCCTTTTGAAACAGGAAAGCTATGAAAATGTTTATAGGGGCAACAATGAGCGCGCTTTCGATACCAATAACTACTTGTCTCCAAGTGAATTTCAAAGGTCCGACCTGAATCACATTTTCAGATTTTCCGTCCAGTTCATAAAACATGGCGTTTGCAAGCATAGCTGTCAATAACAGTGAAAGACAGCATGACGCCCGTTGTACTCGTGTGAAGCGATTCCTCCTTTGCTTCGCTATAACTGAGACCCATATGTGTTTCTCTGTGAGTCCTTTCCACCATCGCTTCAAAACCTCGCTTTTGAAATCCATTTTATTTTGTTCTGTCTCCAACATCCGTTCAATCCTACCATCTCCTCTCTCAAGAGCTAGCCACTGAGTATTTGTGAATGTCCAAGAGGAAAGCGTTTGTTTGTCAAGAACAATGATTTCCTCTAGAAACCACGAAGGGCTGTTTCCAGAGTTATCATGCCCAAACCTCACCCCTTCAATAGAACCGAGCGATTTTTCAGCTTTAAGAACAAAAACGTCCCTATTTCCTCTAGAAAAAAGTGTGCCCGTCGGCGCATCTTCCATGTTGTTGAGCAGAACCTTTCCGGTGCTTTCTTCAGAGCCGTATATCTCTATAGCAACTTTAGCTGTTGTTCCAGAGTTCCTCCAGACTCCTGTTATTATTGTTATTTCATATTCGTGCGAACTGTTTGATCCTGTTGGCAGCTCAACTGGAGAGCCATTCTAAAACAAAAAAGAAAAGAAAAGTGTTGTGTGTTTTTGTTCCCTTCATTGTTAAGCTTCCAGTGTCCTGTACGTGTCAAGCGTTTTCACTCCGGTGACCAGCATCTATTTAAATTTTTTGGAACAAAAGAAAGTGTTTGTTGACAAAATCCAACAGGATTGGTTTGGAACACCAACATGGCCGCCGTTACATTTTTCTGGATTACTGATATTGCCATCGTGACGTTATGTGAGAACGAGGTATAATTTACTTTTTTTTGCATTGGTTTGTTCTAATTATTCATGTCTGCAAGGCCAGAAACAAGAAATTGGTTGCCATTAAAAACATTCTCAGAGATCTGAATGGGTACCTGCTATTGATTAGATTCCGTCGTGCCAAATGAGTCACCGAAGCCTTAATCGAAGGCTCCGCACTGCAACCTACCGTCACCCCCAAAACTAGAAAAATTAACTCTTCTGCGCCTCTGCGATGCCGTTTTACGTATAAATTTACATTATAGATGATTATAGAGCATGGTGTTTTGATAATCGCTCAGTCATACATTATTAAAGAAGTAAGACTTCACTAAAAGAATTAAGAGAACTGGAAAACATAGTTTTGAATAATAATGTACGGCCAGTTCATTTTAAAGGGCCGTTCAATCGTCTTCATGGTGATAAAAAAATACCTCTCTGTTTGAATTGATGAGCTCTAGGAGAAGGAGTTCTCTATTCTCTAATTGAGCTGTCCGATGAGTCTTGACTTCGGTTTAATATTTTTCATTGCTCGGTCTGGTTTACACTAAGATCCAGCTACATACTACTGCAGTGTTTTTCCAAGTGGTCGTTGCATTATTTAAGTTACCTAATAAGTACTTACATTTCTGGTGTCTTGCTGATCCGCTTTTCGTACGAAAACAATCACAAAAACGTAGCACATGAATACCACTGCCACGGTTACAATAACCGCGACATTTCCTGTATCTGCAAGTCTCTTAAACTCTACCAGCACTTGATCAAAGTCGATGGGATTGGGTTTTACAAAGAAACTACCCCCAAAGGAGGTCAGGTGATTACATGAACAGTTCAGGAATCCATTTAACGTTGCTGACAAAACCTATGGAATAAAGAATGAAAAATTTGAAACCAAGTTTTCATGTTGGGTCAATAGATCAAGTTCGAAATATCTTCAAATTCATACTTGGCTCGGAGGCTTGGGGAATCTGAACAACAAACAAAGTTTTTCCATGAACCTCAAGGCGATTTCTCTTGAATTATTCTTTCAAGCCTCGAGAAAGTTATGAATTTTTTTAACATGTCAAAATTGGTTCATTAATGAACTTTTAATTCATGGGTTGTGCAATTTAAGGGCATGCTATAATTTCCCAGCTGATCACAATAAATATCAAAATAACTACATTATACCACAGGGGACCCACACAATCTGTTGGTGTAGCCGATTGTTATTTTATAGTAAATGTACTGGATTTACCGTTTGCTTCACCTATAGCGATATATCGTTAATTATGTATATAAATCAATCATAAATAAACGATGAATTACCTTGCCTGTGGTGTATAGTCGTCCTTTTGCCTCAAAAGCGGTTTTTTGAGCGATTTTGAATGAATTTGAGTTCGCCGTTGACTGTTCCATATAATAGAAGGAAGGGGGGAATCCTTGTTTTGAAAGCGTTCCAGCGCGGGAGCAATTTTTCCCCCCAAAATCGCATCGCTCAACTTTCAAACTTCGCAGCATAAAGGTCAAAAGATTCACGATTCTTCTCGCACCTTCCAATCGAAAATCCATTTAAACGGCCCGGAGTTAGCCCTCGAAGAAAATCAAAATCCCACAGTATTCCAGCGACTGGAATGCGTAGCAAGATTCATACGTGCCAGCCAGAAACCGTCCCGCTGATTGCCTCTTTCTGATTGGATGTCGTTAAACAACAAACGCTTACCAAGTCTTCTTCATCAGTTATTATTTAACCATTTGTTTAACGACATCCAATAAAAAAAAGACAATCAGCGGGACGGTTTGTGGCTGGCACGTATGAATCTTGCTACGCATTCCAGTCGCTCGAATACTGTGGGATTTTGATTTTCTTCGAGGGCTAGCTAAGGGCCGTTTGGATGGATTTTCGATTGGAAGGTACGAGAAGAATTGTGAATCTTTTGACCTTTATGCTGCGAAGTTTGAAAGCGGAGCAATGCGATTTTGGGGAGAAAAACCGCTCCGGCGCTGGAACCCTTTCAAAACAAGGATTCCTCCCTTGTCCTTCTATTATATGGAACAGTCAAAGGCGAACTCAAATTCATTCAAAATCGCTCAAAAAACCGCTTTTGAGGCAAAAGGACGACTATACACCAAAGATAAGGTAATTCAACGTTTATTTATCATTGATCTATATACATAGTTAGCGATATATCGCTATAGGTGAAGCAAACGGTAAATCCAGTACATTTACTATAAAATAACAATCGGCTACACAAACACATTGTGTGGGCTCCCTGTCATTATACAACTGCGCAAGATCACAAACGACACCTAGGAAGCCAAAGGATGGCATGGATGAAAGTGGAGACGGCAAAAGCATCCATGTGTTGCTCCTTACTGCGAGGCTTAACAATTCACACTTAGCAACCAACCCTAGTTCCAACACCAATAAAAAAAAATAGCTCCGTCATCAGTTATTACTTACTTGACAGCCTTCTGTCGTCCACTTTTCCTGCTCTTCTGACCAGAACACGCAGCTTCCCAAGGCCACCCTCATAGTGTAGTTCCTTGAGATGGTCGGGTCATACATGGGTACTAAAGATACATTTTTGCCCTGAGGGGGAGTGGGAGGGGGATCTTTCACTTGCACACATGATCGCTTTTTACGTCCATTTCCGAAGCATGATCTCTTTTGTCTCCTCAGGGAGGTCACACTGGTGTCATAACTTTGAATCCCTAGAAAGTACCTTCCAGGTTGCCTGACAACTGTTTCTATTGGAACGGTTGCAAATCTGTTGGAAGAACACTTTGCTCCTTCAAAGCTTTTTTCCTGCGTATTCCACCAAATGCAAGTTTCTTGTTTGGAGATAGTGGCATTGAGATCATACACTTGTGTTGTTGGCCGTTGACTGTGTCGCATGTAAACAAAAAGGGTCACTCTTTCATCTGCTGAAGCCATCTCCACCATTATCAACGTGTTTTCGTACTTAACATCTATCTGGTGAAATCGTAGATTATCATTGTGGGTGAAGTACTGCGGAATTTGTAAAGGGATCTGTTGAGGTTTCAGTGGTGTAACAACCAGGACGTCGTTTGGGAGACCTGATACTTTGATCAGTTTACGCTCGTCGTCTTTCAAGTCCAGTGCTAAGATATCAGAGTCCACTACTTCTCTTGTGACATCCCATGTGTAAGGATTGAATGGAATTGAGAGCATCTGCAAAAGGCAAAACAAACAAACAAAAACGGCATGAACCTGGTGCATGACACACGTCACTGGCATAACCCTTGGCTTAGATAATTGTGTTTTCAGCAAATTTCATTACACTCCATTGAGCATCACGATACTCTGAATCTTAGCGATATCGGAAGAAAATAAATTTAACAATTATTCGTCGAAGGCAAACTTTATATTGCTGAATCACGTTTTTTGATCTCCGGAAATGGTGTAATTTCTCTCGAATCGAGGCCCTTGAATTTTCGTGTAACTATGCAAGCGTATAGCCTGCGACCGTAGACGTAATTTCGGTCGTCGGTAACACGCGTACTAAATCAATTCAGAACATTTTGTCGAATACGATATAAAAAGCAATCCTGAAATACTTGACCGTCTATAAAATAAAGTAGGAAGTAAAAATCCTTTAGCGAGTAAATCCTGTTTCTTGTAGAATTAATCACCTCCTCATTTCTAATCTAGTCTCCGAGCAAGCGAGACTAAACGCCGAGAACGGTCTTGTTCAACAATATGAACTGAACCTGAGGTGAATAATTGTTTTAGCATATACACACGAAGTGATCTCATCACAATCAGAAAGATAACCATTTAAAAACGATTGGTTTGATTGACGGGTGAATTCATGCGTGAACATGCAGCCGTAAACAGAAGATGCGTGACAGTTAGATCTTTATGCTTACAGTATCTTTAAACATGGCATATTATAGTTACGTTTCTAATCTTTTTGTAAGCTTTAGCATCAATAGTTTGAAAGAAAATGTCGAAATTTGTAATTACTACCCCTTTTGAGTAGAAAAGTAGAGCTTTAAGGGTTTCTGTGAGCGTTGTTTATATGCAGTGTTCTTTACATTGTTAACTTGCTGGCATATACAATTTTCGAAAATGTTGCCTTCCCTTTTTTCTGAAAATTAACTTCTACTTATAAGGCAAAGTTGCTCTTGCAAGGAAATCCCGAGTTCACAGAACAGTGACAAAGCGCCTTCGTTTTCCTCTGTAATGGAAAATCTGATGATCAGTCGCTAAATCTATTCCTACTTTTGTTGAAAAACTAGAAGGTGTTGATTGGTCTTCGATTAAAACTTGTGATGAGCCAGATATTGCGTACAAACGCTTTCATGAAATGTATACAAAGATTTATAACGATTGCTTCCCTCTCAAGAAGGCGACTAGAAAGCAGAGGCGCTTTAAAAAACCGTGGTTAACGAAAGCTCTTCTTAAATCAATTAAAACAAAGAATAAACTTTACAAAAAATATCTTCAAGTTCCAACAGTCGACAATTGTTCACTCTACAAAAGATACAAGAACAAATTGAATCACACCTTGCGTTTGGCTAAGCGTCGGTATTATGAAAAGAAATTGGAAGATGCTAAATCAAATACACATGCGACCTGGAAAATTTTAAACGAAGTCTTAAATAGAAAAAAGTCGAGGCCTCAATTAAATACAATATTTAAGTCAGACGGTCAGGAGATTTCTGATCCAGTGAAAGTAGCAGATAGGTTTTGCAGCTACTTCTCTAGTATTGGTCCCAACCTCGCAAAGAAGATACAGCCTCCTCCTTGTTCACATAAAGATTTTCTATCTGGATCATTTCGAGAATCAATCTTTTTTAGCCCAACAACAGAGGATGAAATTATTACCATTGCTCAATCTTTTGCTTCCGGGAAAGCGGCTGGATATGATAATATTCCAATGTCTATAATTAAGGAATCCATTCAAATCATTTCGGGACCTCTGGCTCACATTATGAATTTATCGATCGCTCATGGCATTGTACCAGATCAAATGAAAATAGCTCGTGTGGTACCTCTGTTTAAAGCTGATGACCAGTCACTATTCACTAACTATAGGCCTGTCTCGGTTCTACCAAGCTTTTCAAAATTTCTAGAGAGAATGTATCTATAATCGTTTGTATGATTATTTAACTAATTTACATATTCTCTGTGATAACCAGTTCGGCTTCAGGAAAAACCACTCTACGACGCTCGCCTTGATTGATTTGCATGAAAAAATTTCATCTGCTATTGATCGTGGTGAATTAGCGGTTGGTGTCTTTTAGATCTCTCGAAAGCTTTCGATACAGTCAATCATTCCATCTTATTTGATAAACTTGAACACTATGGTATACGTGGCTTGGCTCTGAAATGGATTAAGAACTATTTTTCCAACAGACTTCAATTTGTAGAATACAATGGTTATGTTTCGTATCGTGCTAATATCATGTGTGGCGTTCCCCAAGGTTCAATACTAGGGCCTTTGTTTTTTCTACTCTACATCAACGATATAATCAACACGTCAACAATATTACAACTGATACTATTTGCCGATGATACAAACGTATTTGTGTCTCACAAGGATAAAGACTGCCTTACTAATATACTGAACGCTGAACTAAATAAGTTGTCAATATGGTTTAGAGCTAACAGGCTTTCATTAAACTTGAAAAAACCAAATTCATTGCATTTAAACCATCCCAAAAGCGTACAAATCAAACTATTCAACTTTTAATTAATAGTCAAAAATTGATCAAGTAAAAGAAACAGTTTTCCTGGGAGTAATCATGGACGAAAATTTAAATTGGAAATCTGAAATCTCACATGTCGCCAATAAAGTTTCTAAATGCACAGGAATTATTCGTAAATCCAGTTTCTATTTATCCACGAAAACCTTACGAACACTATATTTTTCTCTAGTCTATCCATACCTTTTTTACTGCAACTTAGTTTGGGCCTCTACTTACAGAACTAACCTTATTCGTCTTGAGATTTTACAGAAACGAGTGATCAGAACTATAGCTAAAACCACTTTCGATGCACATACTGATCCAATCTTTCAAAATCTTGGTATCTTAAAATGTCATGATATATACTTAATACAACTAGGCTTATTCATGTACTCCTATCAAAACCATACTCTACCTTTAAAATTTCATTGTAAATTTACCTTACAAAGTCAAATTCATTCGTATAATACAAGAAACTCGTGTAAATTTCGTCTGCCTTTCTGTCGTACTCGAACCAAGCAATTTTCCGTTTTTTATCAAGGACCTAAATTTTACAACACCTTAAACACCAACATCATCAACGCTTCCTCACCTTTCTCCTTTAAAAGAGCACTTAAGGCATTTATTTGTAATAATTATTAGTATACTTCAACAAAAATCTTGGGAAAAAGCCTTTTAATATTCAACATTTGTACATGTAAACTTCCGTAATATTGATTAGTTTAATTTTTCACCTGATATTATACTGTACCCGTCGCCGTAATTTTTATGCCATCTTCGAAAAATTGTAATTGAGGAGGCCTAATTAACATAAGCTCTATAGTTTCTTTTAGGCCTCCTCGCCATCTCTTCCTACATTTTTTTTTTTTTTCTTTTGGCATCTTTAAGTAATGTAATTGTGTGGCAAATAAATAAAAATACCTATACCTAAATACCTGATGATCAGTCGCTTTTCCCCAACTACTGACCTATCTCGGTACTTCCCAGCTTTTCAAAATTCTTTGAAAGAGTTATCTACAATCGTTTAATGCAATACCTGATGAATTTCAACATTCTCTGTAGTAACCAATACGGCTTCAGGAAAAATCATTTTACTGCACTCGCGCTAATCGACTTACATGACAAGATCCCCGCGGCCTTTGACCGAGGTAAATTTTCCGTTGGTATTTTTCTTGACCTCTCAAAAGCCTTGGACACTGTAAATCATGTCATCCTTTTTGATAAACTCGAACATTACGGTATTCGTGGCTTAGCGCCGGACTGGATATGAAGTTACTTTTCAAACAGAACGCAAAAAATGGCCACCGTTCGTCAAGAAATGAAATCTCTTGTGGGGTCTCTCAGGGTTCTATCCTCGGACCTCTATTTTTCTTACTGTACATTAACGACATCAACAATGCTTCTGATATTGTTCGCTGACAATCAGTCAATCAATCAATAATCTTTATTTATACATGATAAGTATTTAAAGCGACGCCTCGCTTGTGGGGTCATGTCTAAATAATTAATAGATAACTGATGAATTAGAAAATAAATAGGATATACACCACCTAAAATCATATAACTACTTACTACTTAAAAGTCTAAAACGATAAAAGCTTAAAATTCTAAAGTACAAGGTGGTACTCTAGTATCGACTAATTACTAACACTAATTATACTTAAAATCTTCCTCCCTTCTGGTTAATGTTTGAGGAGAGATACAGTCGAAATCTAGGTGTAGCAGAGCCTTTGACCGTCTTGCCATAATCGCATATTTCTTAGCATTGTCTATATCGTCATTAAGTTGAGGAACCAACGTGTTCCAAACTATTGCTCCTCTACGAGCTACAGAGTTCCTCATGTAGTTGGTGTTAAAACGAGGGACATCAATTTTCAGTTTCTTCCTAAGTTGATATCGCTTGATGTTATCATTGTTCTTAGTAATAGCTGACATAGCGTCTGGAGTCAGGTTATTTTGGATTTTATACATAAGCTTAGCTAAGCTAATTTTATACATAAAGGCTAAAGAAGACCAACTAGCCTTTTTCATAACATCTGCATTAGACATCTCCCAAGGTAGCTCAAAGATAATTCTCGCAGCTCTACAATGCAGTGCTTCTAATGCCTTAAAACCTTCCTTATTTGTGAGGCCTCCCCACACTGATATACCATATACGATCGACGGCATAATAACTCTAAAATACAAGTCTAATAACATATTCTTTGGAAGAAATTTGCTACGTTTTAACAAGTTTAACTTATCAACAAAGCCTTTTTTAACAACACTAACATGTTTAGACCAGTTTAGTTGATCATCTATCAATACGCCTAATAGACGAGAGTGTGTAACCCATTTGATGGTGTGCTGGGCCAACGTTAACTCTTTCAATGGGCCAGCGAATCTTCCACGATGGAGGATCATTGCTTCGCATTTCTTTGGATCAGGCACAAGGGAGTTTGTTTTGCACCAGTATAGAAGCTCTTCCAAAGCTTTGTTAAGTTCAGGAATTACTGCGTCGATAGAATCGCCAATGCAATATAGGGTAGAATCGCATAATTAACTAAAATCTCGCATTCTGATTGGTTAACGAAGCGAGGTATTTAGTGTGGAATTGCGAGTTGAAAACGAGGCTAAGCGATATTGTTTCGCATCTACGTAACAACTATCGTCAAATTCTAACACGACAACATGCAAAAAAGGTTTTCTACAATGTCATTTTAAAATGTTTTCAAAACCATTCATTGTCACTTTTTGAAGAGTTAAAAACAAACAAAAGCGTTTTTTAAAGTGTGCCGGAGGTTCTTCCTTGTTTTGAACTGAACTACAGATTCTCGAAGAGAGATAAAACCTCTTTCACTCGCGACAACGAGAAAACAAGAAAATCCTGTGAACACGGCCCAGAAAATGGCAATCCAAAGTTCAACCAAACAAAACGGAGAAGCGACAACGGAGGAAGTGCCGGGGTCGATTGTCCCATATACAGAAGAAGAAATAAATACCTTCAAAGAGGACATGGCCCCTGAAAACACCAAAAAGAGTACGCCACTTGCAATCGTCCTGAATCGTGGTACTTAGAAAAGTACAAAACAGAGCTGAACTTGAACAGCATTTCTAAAACATTTCAAGGTACTTACCTTATGTCAATCGCGACGTTAAACATGTTAAACTTTCAGTGCTTTCGCTTGGACACTTGATTTCTTTCAGTTTTGCCGCCGAAGAGGTAAAAGGTGTAAATTATTTGCCTTCTCGAGCAAATGACCAATTTGAAAAAAGACGTTCTACATAAACGGCTTCTAAATTCAGTAAAATACCGCTATTTATCCTTACGATTAGTGTGAAGCTTGTTTACATGTAAAAAAGTTTGAAAACAAATGTAAAAACAAGCACAAGGTACAAAAAAAGTTGTCGAAGGTTCAAACGTGTACGACTGACCTATTGCTTCCTATTCGCTATAAACGCAATGACAGTTCTGACAGTTGACTTTGAAATGGCTTTCTGGAGCGCGCGCTCAGGATAAAAACAAACAATATTATTGCTTTTGTCTTTTTTTTTCTTCTGATTTTATTCAATTATGCGATTCAAGGAAAATTCATTACCTGACTGAGAATTCCACGTTAAATTGCACTTGAAAACCGATATCGCACGAATCGCGAATTTTCGCGTGCAATTTAACCTGGAATTCCCTCGTCAGGTAATGAATTTTCCTATAGTATCATCAGCATACATGTAGGTTGTCGCAGTGGTTATAGCTTCAGGTAAATCACTTGTGTAAAGAGAAAATAAGGTCGGTCCCAGAACGGAACCCTGCGGTATTCCAGATTTAACAGTGTTAAGATCTGATGCTATAACATTTAGGACAGTATATTGTTTTCTATTGTCAAGTTAACTGCGCAGCCAGTCGAGTAGCACTCCATTAATTCCAAAATCATTTTCTAATTTACGTAATAGCACATTATGGGAGACACAGTCGAACGCTTTCTGGAAATCTACCAGCACTATACCAACAACTTTATTTGAGTCAATGGCACTCCTCCAAATTTCGGTCATATGCACTAGCAACAGCTCTGTAGAATATCCTCTCCTGTAAGCCCATTGTTTGTCCGTAATTAATCTATTTTCAATAAACGCATGGTGAATGATCGAATCAGCAACAATGGTTTCAAGTATTTTGCTCGAAACACTGAGAAGAGATATGGGGCGATAATTTCCGATTTCAGTCTCGTCATCCTTTTTAAAAACAGGATTGACTCTCGCAGTCTTCCACTAGCTAAAGACGTAACCATCTTTCAAACTCATATTGTAAAGGAACATCAACGGGGATAGCAATGCATCTCCAGCTTCCTTGACTATTTTCGGTGATATGTCTTCGGGTCCTGTCGCTTTATTTGTTTTGAGATTAGCTGATTTTCTCTCAATGGCCAAAGGCGATAATGCAATGTTATTGACACAGGGAACAATCTTAGTTGACGTGGCCAGGTGAGATAGATATTGGGGCTGGAAACTGCCAGCCAGTTTGTCTCTGATGTTAGAGAAGAAATTATTGACTAGATTTGATTTTTCTTTGTCATCAACTGCGAGCGATCCATCCTCTCTTTTCAATGGACCTATCGCTTTCCTTAATTTAGGGTTATTCGCCTTTGAAAGTAGGTTCCAATACTCTGCAGTGGTTTTGACATCAGCTAATAGATCTTTAAAATGCAGCTAAATGCTTAGCCTTGGCTCTGCGTATATCAGCTGTGATTTCATTTCTAAGTTTCTTATATGCAGCCTATTTGCTAGGATGCTTTGTCCGGTTTGCCTCTTTGAATAATTTAAGTCTGCGATTCATTTTGGGCCTAATTGTGTTGTTAATCCACGGAGCAGACGTACTTCTCACTTTCACATCCCTAAATACCAATGTATTCATATCACATAAAGATCCGAACTATCTTTCAGTTATGTTACACTCGGAGATGGACAAACTGTCAATCTGGTTTGAAGCAAACAAGTTTTCTCTAAATCTTAAAAAGACTAAATTTATGGTCTTTAAACCAAGACAAAAGCGTTCAATTTGTAATATTCAAATAAGTATATTAGATAATCAAAATAATGTTAAAGTAAAGGAGACAAATTTTCTAGGAGTAATTTTGGATGAAAACCTAACGTTGCAATGAAAGTTGCCAAGTCAATCGGTATAATATCTAGATGCAGCTTCTTTTTTCCTAAAACGTCTCTGTGTATGCTCTACTGTTCCTTAGCTTATCCCTATTTTTACTACTACAAGATAGTTTGGGCTTCGACCTACAAAACCAATCTCCGCCGCCTTGTTATCCTGCAAAAGCGCATTATTAGAATTATTAATAAATCACATTTCAATGCTCATGCAAACCCCATCTTTACGGATCTCGGTACACTAAAATTAAATGATATCCATTTGCTTCAACCGAGCCAATTTATGTATTCTTGCAAAAATTCAGTCTTACTTCCAAGGTTTAATAACAATTTCTCCCGATGCAATCAATTCCACTCTTACAACACAAGAAATTCCCAGGCCTACCGTCTACCGTATTGTCGTACAAACACTAAGAAGTTCTTGCCCTTTTTTCAAGGGCTTAAGTTTTTTAATTCACTTGACAACGAGGTCATCAACTCTCAATCCCTTTCCTCTTTTAAGAAAAAAACTGAAGATTAAATTATTGAGTAAATATGAAAACAGTTCATAAATCTTTCCATCTTCGACTTTTCGCCATTTTTTCACTGAGTGTGTATATACTAAAAGGCGTTGTAAAATACAGACTATTTCCAAGAGTAATGAACACATGTATTTGAGATTGTTATGTAAGGTAGTCCAAGAAAGTCTGGATTCTGGATTCCAGGCTGTGGATTCCGAATTCCAAGCGCTAGCGACAACATTTTTAAATGAACTGACTAAACCTCCACAAGCAAAAATGTCCAGGATCCGGATTCCGGATTAGCTTTAAGTGGGTGAAATACACGTACTGATGATCTCTCGAGTTGCGCAGGTTGCGTAGCTTATTTGATGGCAGTCCTCATTCGAAAGGAGAAAAGCTAATCGAGGATTTTTGGAAAAGGAAGAGGATTTATGAAAACTTACCTGAGAGTCTACGAAAGCTGTGTTACCGGTACTGGAATCTAATGTTCCATCTGGTAAAACAAATCTACCGTCCCCTCCTTCAATTGATAATCCAACAAGTTTAGTTGGGGTATGACGTCCTAATGTCATGGACAATTCTGCAGTCTTGATCCGCGTCACTTCTTCATCTGCAACTTTCATTGCTAACACGGCATCTGCAATAATGTTGATGATCCCGAAGGAATCCTTCACGAGAGTTTTGCCCTAAAGAAGGAAGTGCCCGTTTATCAATTACTACTTCATTTTTAGAACGTTCAGGCCCGATTCACTCACTCACGTCCAGAAATGCGCCCAATGGCAAAAATGGCGAAAATTAGCCAAGTTTGGCAAAATAAGTTATAACAAAGCTAAGGGTTCCCATTTAGAGTTGCGATGTTGATGAAAGTGGCATATTTGGCGAAAATGGCGAATTTGGAATTGGCAACGAATTTGGCGAACATTCGCCAGTCATAACAAAATTTTCAATGAGATGGCAAAGAGGCCCTTTGAAAGTGGTGATTTTGACGAAAATGATGACGTTGACCAAAATAGCGAAAAATCTCCAAAGCCTTACCTGCAAGTCCGATGAGGAGGCAAAGGGTACCCCCCCCCCCAAAAAAAAAGAAAATGGCGAGAAATCGCAACGGCGATTTTGAAGGAGATGACAAATTTGCCGAACATGGCTAAAATTAGCTAAAGCTTTAGATAGAAGTAACGAAATTGACGAATTTGGCGGACATGGCCAAAGGGTGAATCTCTCCAAAAAATTGCCTGAGGGCTGGCGAAAGTTTAAATGAGTTTACAAGAGGCACTCCCCATATAGTCGCGAAGTTGACAAAAATGGAAAATCTCACGAAAATGGGGAATTTGGCCTCAATTTTCCATGACATTGCAAAATATTCAAATTAGATCACAATTTTCGCCATTTTAGCCAACTTTACCAAAATCGCTCTTGCGGCGGCCGTCCAAGAACACGATAATTTTGAACCAAATTTTTCTGGCATCGATAGGACTCCATTTTCCTTTAGGTATGGGTCCCCGCTGCTCGCGCGCTTCGCACGCGCGGACGCTCCACTATTAACAAATCTTAGCCCAACCTCCATTCAGGGGACATTTCTTTTCAGGTTACACTTACCTTGGTCCCAAGGGTGTCCCCTGAAAAGAGGTTCCTCTGTACTTGTTTTTAAGTTTACGTTAGGTTACTTTTACTACAACTAACGATAATCGTCGACAATCGAGCACCAAGAAATGGATTTAATTCTTTGTAACAAGACGCTATGGGGGCGTACACCGCGGTGTCGTGGTAGTGGATTAATTGTGAATGCGAAGGAATAGTAAGAAATGATATTTTTCCAGATACCCTTCCATACAAATACCCTTACTTTTCGGCTTTTGTGTAACAGACGTCTTAACTTCTTCACCGGAAGTCTGCTAGGTGCATGGCTGTAACCCAATTCGATTATAATTTCTGTCATAAATAATTGCGCACGGCGAGACCTCAGTCCCACTTCCTTTACTTTCTTTACAACAACACTTTCCTTATATACAGTTAACTCCACACCTTCTACAGCAACGTAACTATGAACTAACATCAGTACACTCCCTTACAAAACTTGCTGAAAATGCACAATCTCCACACCGAGAAAAATTCATGTACAACATCGCAACATAAACTAGAAACACGTATCTCGCAATAACTCTCGCGAAACTCGTTTTTTTTTAGTAGCGCCACTCAAGTTAAGCCTTGTCGGGCGGGGTTAGGAACTGGATGGGTAACCCACCGCGAATATCGTCGTGAAGATCCCTACTTTGTTCTTTCTTTTCTTCTTCTTCTTCTTTTTTGCGTATTGTGCGGTGTTATCTTTAAAAGTGTATTGAAAAGTATACTTAGCATTATTTCGGCCGCTGGATTTAGAAAGAAACACAAACACGGCAGCACAGTTCGAGTGAAAATTCTTATAAGCGTACTTCGGGTGGTAGTAGTACAGAACTGAAATTTTGATCTATCGGCGGGGAATTTAACCGGCAAACTAATAAATTTGGGTTTTCCACGGTCTATAACGAATTCCAAGCGAGATTCCAGGAGAAAAAGACAAGGTTTCCACGATAAAAAGCCAAACTGAAACGCTTTTTGGAGAAACATATGACGTGATCGACATATCAAAGCAACTCGTCTGCGCAGTGAGACGCACCGAAAATTGCTCTTGTATCTCGATTTTCGCTCATATTTTGAAGCTACTAGCCCAAATTGATTCAATGTTTTCTGTAAAATACTTCTGCAGTCTATATTTCTAGCCAGAATAATAAATAAGAACAAGTCGAAAGGTCACCAACTTATCCCGTACCTCGTGCATGACTTATAGCCATGTTTCCCACCTCAAGTTACCTTGGGTTTTAGCGGCGCAATCGGCTAATCCCGCGACGTAGGGGCTCATGGTCTCTGATCTGACGGGTAACACAGGTGAGTCGGTTCAAACCCCGGGCAAGCCAAGAAAGTAATTCTTTCTTCCTCGAATAACAGAGAAATCGAACTGATCTCGAACTAATTCGGCTCTCACTTCGTCAAATAGCCCAATAAAGCTGAAAACCTACGGACTTTTCAAGCCCAATCTGGTCCCCAACTTTGCAACATTCCTGAGCGTCGCGAATCCTTTCCTTCGCACTCCGCCGAAGTAAGAATAAATCATCAAATTACAACAGATGAGTGATCAAAAATTTGAGCAAGATAGCGATATTACAAGAACAAACTTTCAATCGTAGGCTTCTGATTTTGTGTATAACAGCAACAGGATACCAGGCAAGCATTAATACTATCATTACATTTGCTGTGAAATTGCACTGAGATTTCCGACGTGTTTGCGCCAACTAGTATAGGACTACCGAAATAAATACCTGTTCTTGAAGACTGGACCCAAATTTTCTTGATGCGATCATTGATGCACTCTTCAGTACGTTGTTGACGCATGAGCCTAAGTTTTCTGCTGAAAGGGTAATCAGCGGTATGTCGTCTATTTGTTTCTGCTGGGCAACATTCCAGAGCAGTGAAGCCATGGAGTTAATAGCAGGTAGGGCAAACTCCTGAAAAAAGCGAACGTTTAGAGAAAGAAATTTTACTGCGAGTTTTCTAACGGACTGCTAACAAATAACCGCTTCCACGATGTTGCGAATTGTTGTCAATTGTTCACCTGGAGAAGCACCCTGCGAGCAGAGCGTTTCTTTCGCTTGTTTGATTTTTTCGTACTCAAGAAAGACTCTGCAAAAATCGAGTCATTCTCCACCCCTGCAGTGCCCTTCTTTCTTGCGCATGACAACGTCACAGAGTCAAAAGAGTGAGGTCTGGGGTTAGGTGGAAGATCGTTATATTGGTGAGACGGTGAGATCCATATTCGACATTATGGATTTTACTGTTAAGGAAAATATTCCAGGACTTTTGATTTTTGTTGATTTTCAGAAAGCTTTCGACAGCATTGAATGGGATTTTCTTGTCAGCTGCTTAGAGGCTTTCAACTTTGGTCGAGATTTTATTCATTGTGTTTTATAACAATATCCAGAGCTGTGTAATCAACAATGGTCTTTCGTCTGATAATTTCCGTCTTGACAGAGGTGTAAGAGAGAGTGACCCGCTCTCTCCCTATCTTTTTGTTCTCGCGGCAGAGGTATTGACAGTTTCAACAAGACAAAACTCAAATAAAAGGAATTTCCATTGGCAAAGAAGAAACTAAATTACTACAATACCCAGACGCCAGTAGCACAGCTGTATTAGCTGACGAGAACTCAGCCTCAGCGTTCCTTAGTCTGTTGGAGTCATTTAAAGATATTTCTGGTCTAAAAATCAACTGTACTAAGACAGAAGCAATGTGGATTGGATCTTAAGAAATAACAAATCAAAACCCTTTGGGCCTTAGTGGCCTGGTGAACTCATCAAAGCCTTAGGTGGGTTTGTGTTTGTTTGAAATAGGTAATATTTTTGTCTTCTTCCTCTGATTGCCTGCTTAAATTAATTGTAATTCCCAATTGTCCCGCTTAGTTTAGATGTGACATAGTGTCATTGTTATCTTAGTGATCTTATTGATTTGTAGGAATTGTTGTAAGAACTATAGCTATTTATTTATTTATTTATTTATTTTTGTATCGTTAGTGTTTTTGTTGTTGTTGTTGTTAGCTATTGGAGTTGTAAATTAGTTATTTTAGTTTATTTTACTATCTCCTGTATATTTTGTGTGGTTAATAAACGATTAAAAAAAAGAGGTCTGGGGTCAACAATGAAATCGAGTAAGAACTTTGTTGAGGATGCGCTGCATGTTGCTAGGATACAGAACCCTAATAGCCGAGTGTCTGGTACAGCGGGCTCAGATATGATCATCGTTATATTAATACAAGAATGCTCGTGGCTAAAAAACACAGTTTGACGAGAGAAGATAAGATTGACCAGTTCAAAAGTTTGGGCTATGATGACTTCAAAGGCTTGACGCGATTCAGCCAGAGCCTCTTTTTCTCCTTCTCGATCAAGGAGAAGACAAAAGGAGGCTCTGCTCTCAGATTGCTGGAAAAGTTGAGAACAACACAATGAAAATTCAGGGGAAACCGAAGAAGGAATCCCCAAAAAACGTAGCCATTAAGCACTTATTACTTTTGAACATGAAGTTGATGGCAGAAAAAGCGCGAAGGAGGAGGGAGTGGCACCTGGAATTCAAACGTTTTAGACTGTGCATGATGTGACGAAACAAATAGCAAAAGTTATAAAAACATACTCTTGACCTGCCCTGTTTTAGTAGGGCGCTTATGGAGACTTCATGGGTAAATTATACCTCACCAGAGATTTTACAGATGTTGTTTCAGTGTCCTGAATGGCTGAGCCAATCACAGAAGAGGACTGCAGCAGGTCTGGTAGACTCTTAACTTGCAATGCGGCAATTTTCTCCACAATCAGTTCCTGAATCTATGATAATTAGCAAAACTGATTACACTTAAACATTAATCGAAATTGACCCTTTCTCGGCGTTTTTAACTTTAGATAAAACTAGTAAGCGAATGTCCATGGACACTACTTGAAAGAGCGCGGTAAATGAAATTAATAAACTTACCAAGTTTAAAGGTATTGGCAGCTTAACTGACTGATTTCACGGCGTTCTTCCAAGCCGAGACGACGAATTTCCACTAATTGGCCCCAGTAAAAAGTTTTAAAAACCGTGTGAAGGTCTACAGGGTGTTTCAAAAGTTCGTTCCGCTTGTAAATTGTATTTTGCGCGAAGTGTTTAATGCTTCTTTAGGCAAATGTAAACTGATTCAGGTAAGAAATTTATCTAAATAACCGTTCAAAGCAATTTCAAACTAAAATTTGAAGAAATTATAATATTTTTGAATTTTTGCCCCAATTTGCACGTACGCGAGTTTCTTCCCGCCATATTTTTTCTGCCCATTTGCAGGTTTTCTATTTTCGCCTTTTTTCCCTTTTCTTTAATTTTCTCCACTCTGTCACGAAAATGAAGGCCTACGCTGTTTGCGTTAAAGCTGAGGCATCTATTTTTTGGTTCTTTGGCCATTCAGTCAAAGAAATTGTTAAACTGTTGACTAAGGTCTGAATGATATAAGTGAACAAGTGGTCGAAGGTAAAGACTTTAGAAGACAAACCAAGGAGTGTATGGCCGTCTTTTTTTAAATTTGTGAGAAATGTTATCGAAAAAGCTGCAAGTATATGCGTAATAAATCTACAAGACAGAATGGTAAAAAAAAAACTTCAACTTCACAATATCAAAGTTTCGAGCACAACGGTATGAAGATATATGACCAGCAAAGGTTGGAAAGCCTTGAAGAGAAAAAGGCGGCGCACATGCAGACATGGTGTCAGAAGGATTTGAAACTTCATAGCAAAGGGCGACCGGCTAGCAAACTCACGTGATGTGAACCCTCTGGAAACCATCTGGATTATCGTTGACGAGAAAACATACAAAGAACCAGCCCCCAAATAACTGGTCGAGCTAAGGCAGTGACTATGCTTCGCCTGCAAAAGTAGACACACTTTGGGAGCTCGTACATTCTATACCTCACCACTTAGAAAATGCAAGAAAACACAAAGAAAGACATTCTGGTTAACGATATTTCGGTTATTCAATGTTAAATGAATAATGAATATCAAACTAAGTTTTACAAAATGTATTTTTAATAATCAGTGAAATTTGAGCGAAGAAAAAATCGGAACGAACTTTTGAAACACCATGTATTTCCACTAAAATAGTTGCCAACATCGTGGCTGGATGAATAATTGCTTGAGACTGAGTCAGCATTAGCTGTAGTCCTTTTCTCGAGACTCCGTTAATTTCTTTTATAGGGTGTTTCAATCCAAAGAGGCTCTTAAAGGCCACATGAATTTCAGTCAAAGGGGACATTAATTAGTAATGGAAAGATTCTTAACGTCGGTTCCGGTATTTTTCAGTTTTGAGCGGATCCTTATTAACATTATTTTTAAAAACTATTACCTTCGTTTTTTCCTCTGTACTGAGGGACGAATCCTGCGAAATCGCTTCTAGAATTGTATAGGATATTTGTGCTGCCTTGTTCAGATCACCATCTTCGATCACTTGATTGAAAAAGCTATCATTAGCTGTCAAGACACTGGTAAAGTTCGCTAGGCTCAAGTGTTGCGATAGTTCAACCTGCGACGACAACAAACGAATCACGAGGCCTTAGCCTTTTGAAAGGTTTCTAGTTGCCTGGGAAATGTGACGAGGAGAAGGCGTGAGTGCGTAAAAACAAACAGGCAAAATGGGCGGGGAGGGGGTGGGGAGGCAAGGCAATGGAAGGGGAGGGAGAGCCTCCCGTTTTAACTCCCTTCCTACACCACGCAGTTTCACCTGTGCTCGAAGCGCCTATTCACCGTCCAGAGTCACACTTCGCGAAGAGCTCGTTCTTATTTCTTTCCATGGCCCACAAATGTCTTAACATTTTACTTTGTCTCAGTTTTACTCCCAGTGTCTATCATCGATATTAAAAAAATATAGTATGACCGACGGTCGAATCGACACATGTAAGGGAATCAGGATTCCATGATTTTTGTTTTCCTTAAGGAATCCGGAATCATTAGCCTGGCACCAGGCTCCCCTGAAGAGAAAAATTGACAAAGGAGTGAAACGGCACCAAAAATTGGCGAGCGAAGCGAGCCGGGTGGAATACAGCTTAAGAAACCAGAAATTCCATCAACGATTGAAGTCCGATTCCAAGACCCATTGACAAAGAATATGGAATCCGGTACCTGGAATCTGGAATCCATAGCGTGGAATCCAGAAGACACTCTTGGATTACCTTACATGGGGTGAGTCGGACGCGCATGCACAAGCTGTAATAATAAGTTATAATGATGTAACTAGACCGCTAGAACTTTCTATGACTCCTGGGGTGATGTGGTTGTGGGCTCCTTTAAAATACCGCTGACTTAACCGTGAACGGTGTGCAGTGTGATTATTAGCGGTTCCCAGGTAGATTTTGACTGGTACTTGATCGTCATTAGGAAATAAACAGGATCAAGTTGTTTGAAAATCAATTAGGTCAGACTTAGGGTTTGTTAACATGACAACTTAAATGGTTTTTGTTCAGGATTAGGGTTAACGAGACTGTGAACAACTCGACCTAGGACTTAACTGTCTAAGGATTCATGGCGAAACAAGCTATGAACTCACCCGGACAGAAATATTAACAGTCGGTGCTGAAGCTCCATAATTGTTAGTTACAGTAGCACGAATCTCGACTTTGTAGTTATGTGATCGGTTTCCGGGGGGTAGCCATGAAATAACGGTGTTATTTACTCCGTAGTATACCATACTGTGCAGACCGTTGTCCAGTCGATATTGAAACTGGTACGTCAGAGGGGTAGCGTCACTGACCCAGTCGCTGCAGCTCAGGCTGAAATCAGTCTTTAATGAGATGCCGCTGGACGGAATGATCACGCACCTTCCTCCTGAAGGGGGCGTAGCGGTAACAATGTCATAAGCACTTAATCCTTCAATACCGTCCTTAGTTCTGACAAATAACATCAATCGATAGTTCTTTCTCCCACCCAACGAGTTTTCTTTTATGGCAATATTACTTGAGTTTAGCGGCGTAGCTGTAATGCTTTGCAATATATTCACCTTTCGCCATATTGGATCAGCATTTGAGGCGGACTTGTTCTGTTCATAGAGCGTCCATTCGTAGGAGAATATTTTGGAGCACTGAGAACCTTGGCACTGTGACTTGATACTCAACCTAACTGACGGACTTGTTTGAACTCCACAATTTAGAAGGCAGCTAAGTATAAAAAAGAAATACATACATTGTAGGGCATGTTAATAATCTTTCTCACAATAGTTTACACTTGTGACTCGGTATTGCGTTGATGCAACAGTGAGTGTGATAGACTATCTCGAGACTGGATTGACTCCATAAAAATAGTGTGAATAGTGAGATTTGCGGGACAAATTTTTTATTTTTATCACTGAGACTAGCTTTAACCCCAGATTTTACTGTAGTTCCCCTTAGTTAGATCAAAATATCCACGGAGACCCTGAAACAGTCAACAGGGGCAGGATAACTGGCGCGAATGAATCTTCGGAACGTCGCGCTCTTTTTCTTGCCACCCACTGAATATGCCCCTGAGTGTCCGAGAAAAAGAGGCTGAACCACGCATTCCTTGGCAATAAATATTACAGACCTTCCGTTAACTTACATTTGCATACATATGCATACATATATGCATGTTTTCTCCACCATTTTCATCACTCACATTTACTGCGTCAAGTAGGACATTTCTACTGCCCGGCTTATTGATAATCAGTGACAGCTAGAGTTACGGGCACAACAGAAAAATAAGGACTGTCTAAAAGTGTACCTTAGCGAAACTTTAGGTGGTTCTCCATTCTGCAATCTAATAACTTGAAACACACTTGATGTTCGACAGTCTTTGGTGACGACCAACTTTGCAATGTAGGTCTGATTTAGCAAGAGGGGTTTCTTGGCGAGGATGACAACCGGTCCGAAACCTTTCTCCGCGAAGTATTGAACGGATATACCACTTATGCCAGGCAGCGGGAATGAATAATTGTTTCCTTTGATCTGGCCGAAATGCCAGGTAAAGTTCATTCCTGAATTATTTCTACTTCCTAAATCAGGATCATAAGAAAGCGAGGCGTTCATGGTGATGTTTTCGTGAAGTCCTCGGATAACTTCGGCACCACCTTTAATAAACGCGACCAGTTCTGTTGAATTTATTAATTAACAGAATTTATTAACAGAATCTAACTTTACCTCAAGATAGTCACAAATCAAAAAATACTTAAATAGTAAAGTGTATAATAAAATCAAGAAGTTGATTAACATCTAAATAATGTTCAATGACCGACCGCTACTCCGAGCTACTCCGCTACTGCCTTTAGAAAGACAAATGAAAAAGAACGTGATGGGTCGCGAATTGTTGGGGAACCTAGTGGCAAATTTGTAGGTAAATTATTTGTTTCTACATTAAAAGAGGTATCAATTTAGTAGTTCCCTTCATTCTTACGTAATGTTCAATAACTGACCGCTAATCCGCTACTCTCTTTAGACAGACTTACCGGCCGCAGATGAAGGACTTGTTGACACGACTATTGAGGAACCTAGAGGCAAATTTGTAGGTAAATTATTTGTTTCTACATTAAAAGAGGTATCAATTTAGTAGTTTCCTTCATTCTTACGTAATGTTCAATAACTAACCGCTAATCCGCTACTGTCTTTAGCCAGACTTACCCGATGAAGAACTTGATGGGACAATTGTTGAGGAACCTAGTGGCAAATTTGTATGTAAATTATTTCAGTGTTTCTACCGCAGTTAAAAGAGGTATCAATTATATTTAGAAGTTTCCTTCATTCTTACGTAATGTTCAATAACTAACCGCTAATCCGCTACTCTCTTTAGACAGACTTACCTGATGAAGAACTTGATGGGACGATTGTTGAGAAACCTAGTGGCAAATTTGAACGTAAATTATTTGTTTCTACATTAAAAGAGGTATTAATTTAGAAGTTTCCTTCATTCTTACGTAATGTTCAATAACTAACTGCTAAGCCGCTACTGTCTTTAGACAGACTTACCCGATGAAGAACTTGATGGGACGATTGCTGAGGAACCTACCCTTACCAAACCATATGTATTTTGAAACTGATTTTAAAGTATTTAAAATGTATTTTCAGTATTTGAACACTATTTTCCTGTATTTTAATCCTATTTGACAAAAAATTTAAATTTTCGCCCCTGTTTGAAATATATCTCGAGTGTAGTTAAATTGTATTTCATCTAAAGGAAAACCTCTCTCATCGATTTACAATGTATTTTGTTTAATAAATATGATTAAAATAGGGTATTTAAAATGTATTTTTGGCATAGAACCACTAACACTGTTACAAACAGAGTTCAAATAGACTATTTGAAATATGTTTTAAGGGCTTTTATGCTGACTGTAATTTAAATCCTTTTAAAAAGGGTACTTTAACACTGTTTTGAGTTGTATCTAAAATGTATTTTGAGACGCATCCACTCACAAAGTTACAAACAGAGTTCAAATAGACTACTTGAAATATGTTTTAAAACCTTAAGTACTGACTGCATTTTAAATACTTTTAAATAGGGTTCTTAAACACTGTTTTGAGGTCTGTTTGAATTGTATTTTGGGCACACAACACTCTCACTATAAAAACAGATTATCCATAAACTCAGGGGGGGCTGGCAACGGCCTTTGATCTTGCCGCTTTTCGGCTTTCCATGATCGCCCCAGCTAAGAAATCTGTCAATCAATCGAGAATTGTAGCGAGCGTGCGCGAAACGGGTTGGGAAAAACAACAAAAAGCTCATCTTCGCAGCGATTCGACAGTGTGTAAGTGAATTCGCGTTTACAATTTTAGTCCAGTTGGTCATTGCTTTCTTTCGACTGTGCCGTAACCAATTTTTTTTCGCGGTAATGCGGAGCTTACGTTTTCCTTTCTTCTGGTCTTGCGTTTGTCATTACATGCGGTTTACTACGCTAGGAACGAAGAACGAAACCAGTGAACATGTTCCTCGATGTCCGACCTTTTGACTATGTGTTTCTGTTTAGAAGACCCATAATAGTAGGCCAGCCCTCTAACACGTATGTAGAAGAGTTTATATTTTCAAGTGAAAGGCCCAAAATTAATTCTTCACAGTATTAAAAAAAGTGTGGTGGCTGTGGTCGAGTAGAAGAGTTGTCAGAGTTGTTTACGGTTTTACTACACCTTTAAGACGAGAAGAAATGATGACTGAGATTCTTAATTTTACATCCTTGATTGTGAACTTATCCTGGCAGAGTTGCGTTGGATGATCGAGTGGCATGGTCAAATCTCGTAGTTCATGTAATTCTTTATGTACTAGAAGCTAAATAAATTTTGCCAAGAGATCATTCTCTCTTGATTTTGCATATGTTGATAGTTCTTCGTGTGATTTAATTTAAACGTTACCGTAGTTTCTAACAAATGAATCTTAGGCAAATGAAGGGGTAATTATTTTTTGTGTTTGGAATTCTCTTTTCATGACAGCAGTTATTACACTTCCTTCAGTTTGAGTCCTCATTCAAGTGTGTTTTGTTGCAAACAAAGAGGGAAAAATTATAAATTCCAAAAACTACACTACCCCTTGGAACAAGATTATGGTTTAAAAAAGTTGGGATTAGCTAGGTTCAGAAAATAAATGTTCAAGTTTGCATGTTTTGACAAGGACCACATCTGGCAAAATATGCTTCAAAGGGAATTTATAAAGTCAGGAAAATGGTGACATTTCTATTTTTGCCTTTCCTTTGGCCCCTGTGATCAGTTTTTACCATACATGTACAGTTGCATGTAATTTTTTACACCGTTTGTGTCTGTGCTGTATATAAATGTAGTTAATGAAATCAAATCCTCTCAAATCCTCTATCCTCCCAACTGGATATGAAAAACACCATAGGATGGCTTGGAAAAAATGTAAAATCATATTATTAAGATAATATATTTATTTGTAATTAACAGTTGGAAACTTGTGTTGAGGCAGGCAAAAACCTTTTTCAGAGACCATAAACATTCACTGACTTTGCTGTTACAACAAGTGGTAAAAGGGTATTAAAATGTTAGATCACCTCCCTGGGCTTGCACTGAAAGAGAGTATGGGTAGTAGGACACATTGTTTATTTCCCTACCCTCTTTAAGCCAAGAGACCTCATTTTGTAATTCTGATTCATTTCATTTAGCATACACAATTAAGTTAGCTTTTAAACTAAGAAACATGGAAAATACTTGGGGAAAAAATGGTGGTACCAAAAATGTAACTATAGACTGCTCTTCATCAACCTCCACAGCCCAAACAGACACCCTGTTCAAAGCTCTAAAGGATGAAATGATCACCACCCTAAATCAGCAGCACATACCCATCTAGGTCAAATAAGCCAAGGGTAGTAGGCTTAAGGGACAATAACTTCTTTTGATGATTGATATAAAATCAATTTTACCTTGTTTGTTTTTGTTGTAAATCAAATTCATAACTTAACAAACAACCAGAAGTTGTACATTTTTGCAAGCTCCTTCTGATTCTCTTTATAAACTTTGCAAAACATTCAATTTTCTTTTTCTGTTTCTTGTACTTCAGTCCTTTGAGGGATTTTCTCAATGCATACTCCTCTCTGATGTACTCACTCTTATTAGCAACTGGACATGCAAGCTTCTTGTCTCCTCACTAAACCATTATAATCATTTCAAGTGAAATTCAGAACTACAGGGTAATTTTTGTACAAACAATTTCAAGGAAATACTTGAAACCGAAGTCACTATATAACACAAAACTACTAAATACAGTACTGTTGTTGGAAATTTATTGATTATCACTCCAATGATATTCCAGTGAAGGTTCAGTAAAACCCTCCCAGCCTTCTGATATTAAAAATAGCTTATACTGACAGACCCAAAATATGTGAAGCAAAGTGACTGGAAAATTTACCCTAGCTTTTACTAAATTGGCCCTGTATTCTGTATTTTCGTCCATAAATATTTGTTGTGGCTCTCGGTTTACAAACAAACTTACGAACAGCGAAGTAGAAAATTGGTTTAATGAACATTCCCATATGACTGTTGCAAGACTCATACTAATATAGTGAGCTCGTAGCATATGTTTAAGATAAGGAAGAGAGTTCTTAATACCACTGTAGGTGGAAAAAGATAAGAGATGGGCATGGATACTGGGCTGTTTACTCGAAAATTCACGAAGCTTATAAAAAACTGAACTTCCCGAGATGCCGAATCACGCCAAGTGTAGTCATCCATGAACTGTTCATACATCACGCCTCCTGATGTCCCAAAATTCCATTAAAAATGTTCTTGAAAACCTTTTCTTGATGTTTGGACGCGGGAAAACTCAAAACCGAGCAAAAACTCATCGTCCCTCCATGTCTGCTTTCTCCGCCATATTTGTTTTGAAGGAAAATGGTACTCAGTCTCACTCGGCCAAATTTCTTAACTGGGGCGATCATCTAAACTCGGTTCCAGACCTCGCTGCCAGCCCCCCCTGCATAAACTACTTGAAGTCTGCTTAAAGACATCAAATGCTGACCTTGTTTTAAATACTTTAAAGTAGGGTACTTGTAACTTATTATTACTGAGGTGCAATATTGTAATGTCTTTTGGGATACTTATACTCAGGCTATAAAAGAAGCAATTGCACAAAGTTAATTTTTAAGCCTTCATAGTGTCACGAACTCATAAATGACTCAAAACAAGCTGTCACATATTGTGGACCGGATTCTCCTCTCAACAAAGTTCGAGGCTGAGCGAAAAATTAAATCTAAATTAAATAAAAAAAAGAGAAGAAAATTAGGAATAGACTTTAGCTTTGACTGATAACACGTAACTGTGACAGTGTGCCGATAAAAGATCAATCCGTTCCTCAATGTTCATTACCCGCAAGTTCTCTGCGAAAATCTCCGCGTAGATTTTAGCAGTGATTCAATTAATGCAGTTACGGGACATTCCATAAGTTTTTTAAAAGAAACTTCTTAAAATTGCATTTTAATTTCATATAGAAATTTTTCACAAACAGCCGAAGCCGCGGGCCGAGAACCGGATGCACCCGGTCAACAGAGGTTTATCTAAAATAAGCCTTTGAAATTACATAATAAATAAATTATCCAAGCTAAGATCTCACCTCGTATATATTGCATCAAGAAACAAAGCTCAGATCTGAATAAACTCCGACATATGGTTATATTCTCTCATAGATTATTCCGCACATGCATGGCATATTATTTCTAAGATGTCACGCGCGACTGAAATCACGACTTCGCGCCGCGGTGATGTGACAAATGCACGTGATAAACAAACCGTCCTTTGTCCTTTGCTCATTTCAAATTATTGAACCGGCGGTATCGCCAAGGCAATATAGTTATGCATTGAGTTAGCATTTTCTCTTAAAAGAGGGACGATCCTATTAAGTTTCAAAAGAGGTAAGAAAAAAATTTCTTTCTTAAAACGAACGGCCTTTCCAAAAATACCGAGCAAGGACCTACGCCGCTTTACCATGAATACGATTACCATTTACTGTTCAGTGTTAATCCGAAAATCTATATCCTTATAAAGACTTGATTTTTAAAGACTTACTATTTAAGCAATTCCTTCCTACAAAGCCAGGTACGCAAGTGCAGTTGTAGTCATTCAGTCCGTCGGTACATGTTCCGTTGTTTAGACACGGGTTTGGATAACAGTCATCAGTGTCTGAAGAGAGAAAAGGACATAGTAAAAAGAAATGACAATAATAAAATATCCATATCTACACGAAATAAAAGGCATTCAATTTAATTCCACATGAACACTCTAGATGAGAAATTGTGTTGAAACTAATCCTGCCGAAATTAGTAATCGCCTAGGCATAATTATGCATTGAGTTGACATTTTCTGTTAAAAGAGGGATGGTCCGATTAAGTTCCAAAAGAGGTAAGAAAAAATGCATATCTTAAAACGGCTTTTCCAAAAATACCGAACGAGGTGGTGAGTCGATTTACTTGGAATACGATTACCAATCGTATGTATATTCAATATCAGATTTCAAGGTCCATCAGTATGGAATTCCGTTGATGAAGATATCAAATTTTCTTCATTGTCTTTGTTTAAAAAGAAAATGAAACAGCACTTTATCAAAGATTACTAGACATCTGTACGTTGTCTGGGTAACTTTAAAATGGAAATAATACTGTTTTGCAATGTATGAATTTTAGTCTCTTTATATACTGGTAGTTTACTTAACTATTTGTGTGTGATTCTCTGCTTTCTTTGTTCTTGTGTCCCTGACCTAAACATTTAAACATCTTTTCTTTTATCTGGCTGCCTGGCATTTTTAACTCTTAGGTTATTTCGGGCGGCCAGCGCCCTTATCATTGTCTGTACTATTGTTATAAATTTTTATTTCTTGTATATTTGGGTTGAAATAAAGTGTTGTTGTTGTTGTTGTTGTAATCACTGTTCAGTGTTAATCCGAAAACCTCAATCCTTTTAAAGAGTTGATTTTTAAAGACTTACTGTTTGAGCAATTCTTTCCTACAAAGCCAGGCACGCAAGTGCAGTTGTAGTCATTCACTCCGTCTGTACATGTTCCATTGTTTAGACACGGGTTTGGATAACAGTCATCAATGTCTGAAGAGAAAAAAGGACATGGTAAGAAATGACAATAATAAAATACCCATATCTACACGAAATGAAAGGCATTCAATTTAATTCCACATGGGCACTCCAGAAGAGAAATTCTGTTGAAACTAATCTTGCCGAAATTAGTAATCGCAAAGGCATAATTATGCATTCAGTTAGCATTTTCTCTTAAAAAGGGGATGGTCCCATTAAGTTCCAAAAGAGGTGAGAAAAAATGCATATCTTAAAACGGCTTTTCCAAAAATACCGTACGAGGTCGTTTGTCGATTTACTTTGAATACGATTACCAATCACTGTTTAGTGTTAATCCGAAAATCTCAATCCTTTTAAAGACTTGATCTTTAAAGACTTACTATTTGAGCAATTCTTTCCTACAAAGCCAGGCACGCAAAGGCAGTTGTAGTCATTCACTCCGTCTGTACATGTTCCGTTGTTTAGACAGGGGTTTGGATAACAGTCATCAGTGTCTGAAGCGAAAAAAGGACATGGTAAGGATTGACGGCAATAAAATGTCCATATCTACAAGGAACACATAGTTATACAAGATTCACATGTCGAATTCATTCAAGGCATATTGTTTAATCCCACATGGACACTCCAGAAGGGAAATTCTTTTGAAACTTCTCTTGTCCAAATAAGTAATGGCCAAGGCATAATGATGTATTGACTTGCCTTTTGTGTGTATAGAGGGATGGTCCAATTAAGTTTCAAAAGAGGTAACAAAACTTCATATGATTCTGTAAGTTATACAAAACGACTTTTCCTAAAGAACCGAGCGAGGTCATGAGCCGAGTTACTTGGAAAACGAGAACTATTTACTTTTCAGTTTTAAGCCCAAAATGTCAATACTTTTAAAGACTTGATTTAAAAAGGCTTACTATTTGAGCAATTCTTTCCTTCAAAGCCAGGCACGCAAGTGCAGTTGTAGTCATTCACTTGGTCTGTACATGTTCCGTTGTTGAGACACCGGTTTGGATAACAGTCATCAATGTCTAAAGAAACAATAGGACATTGTGAGGATTAAGGACAGTAAAATATCCATATTTACACAGAACGGATAATTATACAAGATTTACTTGTTGCATCAATTAAACGCATTCAGTTTTATTCCACAAGGCACTTCAGTAGGGAAATTTTTTTGAAAATAGTCTTGCCTCAATTATTAATGACCAAGACATAATTATGTATGTATTTGCCTTCTTCTGTGTATGGAGGGATCATCCTATTAAGTTTCAAAAGAGGTAAGAAAAAATGCATATCTTAAAACGAACGGCCTTTCCAAAAATACCGATCGAGGTAATGCGGCGCTTTACTTGGAATACGATTACCATTCACTGTTCAGTGTTAATCCGAAACTCTATATCCTTATAAAGACTTGATTTTAAAGACTTACTATTTGAGCAATTCTTTCCTACAAAGCCAGGCACGCAAGTGCAGTTGTAGTTATTCACTCCGTCTGTACATATTCCGTTGTTTAGACACGGGTTTGGATAACAGTCATCAGTGTCTGAAGAGAAAAAAGGACATGGTAAGAAATGACAATAATAAAATATCCACATCTACACGAAATGAAACGCATCCAGTTTAATTCCACATGGGCACTCTAGATGAGAAATTGTGTTGAAACTAATCTTGCCGAAATTAGTAATCGCCAAGGCATAATTATGCATTCAGTTAGCACTGTTAAAAGAGGGATGGTCCGATTAAGTTTCAAAAGAGGTAAGAAAAATGCATATCTTAAAACGACTTTTCCAAAAATACCGAACGAGGTCGTTCGTCCATTTACTGTTCAGTGTTAATCCAAAAATCTCAATTGTTTTAAAGACTTGATTTTTAAAGACTTACTATTTGAGCAATTCTTTCCTACAAAGCCAGGCACGCAAGTGCAGTTGTAGTCATTCACTCCGTCTGTACATGTTCCGTTGTTTAGACACGGGTTTGGATAACAGTCATCAGTGTCTGAAGAAAAAAAAGGACATGGTAAGGATTGACGACAACAAAATATCCATACCATATCTACAAGGAACACATAATTATGCACTGAAGATTCACTTGACGCATCAACTAAAGGCATTCAGCTTTATTGCACATGGGCACTCCACAAGGGAAATTCTTTTGAAACTAATCTGGCCCAAATTAAAAATGGCCATAGCATAACTATGAATTAATTTGCCTTTTTCCTTGTGTAGAGGGATCTTCTTATTAAGTTTTGAAAGAGGTAAGAAAAGTTGGATCGGTAACTTATGCAAAACGACTTTATTAAAAGGAGCGAGCGAGAACGAGCGGCGTTGAAGTTGAATTACGATTACCATTCACTGTTCAGTGTTAATCCGAAAAACTCAATTCTTTTAAAGACTTACTATTTGAGCAATTCTTTCCTACAAAGCCAGGCACGCAAGTGCAGTTGTAGTCATTCACTCCGTCCGTACATGTTCCGTTGTTTAGACACGGGTTTGGATAACAGTCATCAGTGTCTGAAGAGAAAAAAGGACATGGTAAGAAATGACAATAATAAAATATCCATATCTACACGAAATGCAAGGCATTCAATTTAATTCCTCTTGGGCACTCCAGAAGAGAAAATGTGTTGAAACTAATCTTGCCGAAATTAGTAACCGCCAAGGCATAATTATGCATTGAGTTAGCATTTTCTGTTAAAAGAGGGATGGTCCTATTAACTTTCAAAAGAGGTAAGAAAAAATGTATATGTTTAAACGGCTTTTCCAAAAATACCGAACGACGTCGTGCGTCGATTTACTATGAATACGATTACCAATCACTGTTCGGTGTTAATCCGAAAATGTCGATCCTTTTAAAGACTTGAGTTTTAAAGACTTACTATTTGAGCAATTCTTTCCTACAAAGCCAGGCACGCAAGTGCAATTGTAGTCATTCACTCCGTCTGTACATGTTCCGTTGTTTAGACACGGGTTTGGATCACAGTCATCAATGTCTAAAGAAAAAAGAAAGGACAATGTCACCATTTACGATATGAGATATCCATATCTACACGGAACGCATAATTATACAAGATTCACTTGTCGCATCAATTTAAGGCATTCAGTTTTATTCCACAAGGCTCTTCACAAGGGAACTTCTTTTGAAGGTAATCTTGCCGAAATTAGTAATGCCCAAATGATAATTATGTATTGGTTTGCTTTTTCCTTTGTAAAGAGTGATGGTACTATTAAGTTATGAAAGGCGGAAGGAAACTTCATATCTGCAACTTATGCAAAACGATTTTTCCAAAAGGACCTTGCGAGGTCTTGCACCAATTTACTGGGAATACGATTACCATTCACAGTTCAGTCTGAATCCGAAAATCTCACTCCTTTTATAAACTTCATTTTTAACGACTTACTATTAGAGCAATTCTTTCCTACAAAGCCAGGCACGCAAGTGCAGTTGTAGTCATTCACTCCGTCTGTACATGTTCCGTTGTTTAGACACGGGTTTGGATAACAGTCATCAGTGTCTGAAGAGAAAAAAAAAACATGGTAAAAAATGACAATAATAAAATATCCATATCTACACGAAATGAAAAGGTCTCAATTTAATTCCACATGGGCACCCCAGAAGAGAAATTGTGTTGAAACTAAGCTTGCCGAAATTAGTATCGCCAAGGCAATATAATTATGCATTGAGTTAGCATTCTCTCTTAAAAGAGGGACGGTCCTATTAGGTTTCAAAAGAGGTAAGAAAAAAAAATTATTTCTTAAAACGAACGGCCTTTCCAAAAATACCGAGCGAGGACCTACGCCGCTTTACCATGAATACGATTACCATTTACTGTTCAGTGTTAATCCGAAAATCTATATCCTTATAAAGACTTGATTTTTAAAGACTTACTATTTAAGCAATTCCTTCCTACAAAGCCAGGCACGCAAGTGCAGTTGTAGTCATTCACTCCGTCTGTACATGTTCCGTTGTTTAGACACGGGTTTGGATAACAGTCATCAATGTCTGAAGAGAGAAAAGGACATAGTAAAAAGAAATGACAATAATAAAATATCCATATCTACACGAAATAAAAGGCATTCAATTTAATTCCACATGAACACTCTAGATGAGAAATTGTGTTGAAACTAATCCTGCCGAAATTAGTAATCGCCTAGGCAGAATTATGCATTGAGTTAGCATTTTCTGTTAAAAGAGGGATGGTCCGATTAAGTTCCAAAAGAGCTAAGAAAAAATGCATACCTTAACACAGCATTTCCAAAAATACCGAACGAGGTCGTGCGTCGATTTACTTAGAATACGATCACCATTTACTGTTCAGTGTTAATTCTAAAAACTCAATCCTTTTAAAGAGTTGATTTTTAAAGACTTACTGTTTGAGCAATTCTTTCCTACAAAGCCAGGCACGCAAGTGCAGTTGTAGTCATTCACTCCGTCTAAACATGTTCCGTTGTTTAGACACGGGTTTGGATAACAGTCATCAGTGTCTGAAGAGAAAAAAGGACATGGTAAGAAATGACAATAATAAAATATCCATATCTACACGAAATGAAAGGCATTCAATTTTATTCCACACGGGCACTCCAGAAGAGAAATTGTGTTAAAACTAATCTTGCCGAAATTAATAATCGCCTAGGCATAATTATGCATTGATTTAGCATTTTCTCTTAAAAGAGGGATGGTCCTTTTAAGTTTCAAAAGAGGTAAAAAAAGAATTTATTTGTTAAAACGGACGGCCTTTCCAAAAATACCAAGCGAGGACGTGCGCCGCCTTACCATGAATACGATTACCAATCACTGTTCAGTGTTAATCCGAAAACCTCAATCCTTTTAAAGAGTTGATTTTTAAAGACTTACTATTTGAGCAATTCTTTCCTACAAAGCCAGGCACGCAAGTGCAGTTGTAGTCATTCACTCCGTCTGTACATGTTCCGTTGTTTAGACACGGGTTTGGATCACAGTCATCAATGTCTAAAGAAAAAAGAAAGGACAATGTCACCATTTACGATACGAGATATCCATATCTACACGAAACGCATAATGATACAAGATTCACTTGCCGCATCAATTTAAGGCATTCAGTTTTATTCCACAAGGCTCTTCACAAGGGAACTTCTTTTGAAGGTAATCTTGCCGAAATTAGTAATGCCCAAATGATAATTATGTATTGGTTTGCTTTTTCCTTTGTAAAGAGTGATGGTACGATTAAGTTATGAAAGTCGGAAGGAAACTTCATATCTGCAACTTATGCAAAACGATTTTTCCAAAAGGACCTTGCGAGGTCTTGCACCAATTTACTGGGAATACGATTACCATTCACAGTTCAGTCTGAATCCGAAATCTCACTCCTTTTATAAACTTCATTTTTAACGACTTACTATTAGAGCAATTCTTTCCTACAAAGCCAGGCACGCAAGTGCAGTTGTAGTCATTCACTCCGTCTGTACATGTTCCGTTGTTTAGACACGGGTTTGGATAACAGTCATCAGTGTCTGAAGAGAAAAAAAAAATGGTAAAAAATGACAATAATAAAATATCCATATCTACACGAAATGAAAAGGTCTCAGTTTAATTCCACATGGGCACCCCAGAAGAGAAATTGTGTTGAAACTAAGCTTGTCGAAATTAGTATCGCCAAGGCAATATAATTATGCATTGAGTTAGCATTTTCTCTTAAAAGAGGGATAGTCCTTTTAAGTTTCATAAGAGGTAAGAAAAGAATTTATTTGTTAAAACGAACGGCCTTTCCAAAAATACCCAGCGAGGACGTCCGCCGCTTTACCATGAATACGGTTACCAATCACTGTTCAGTGTTAATCCGAAAACCTCAATCCTTTTAAAGAGTTGATTTTTAAAGACTTACTATTTGAGCAATTCTTTCCTACAAAGCCAGGCACGCAAGTGCAGTTGTAGTCATTCACTCCGTCTGTACATGTTCCGTTGTTTAGACACGGGTTTGGATAACAGTCATCAATGTCTGAAGAGAAAAAAGGACATAGTAAGAAATGACAATAATAAAATACCCATATCTACACGAAATGAAAGGCATTCAATTTAATTCCACATAGGCACTCCAGAAGAGAAATTGTGTTGAAACTAATCTTGCCGAAATTAGTAATCGCCTAGGCATAATTATGCATGGAGTTAGCATTTTCTCTTAAAAAAGGGGATGGTCCTATTAAGTTCCAAAAGAGGTGAGAAAAAAATGCATATCTTAAATCGGCTTTTCCAAAAATACCGAACGAGATCGTTTGTCGATTTACTTTGAATACGATTACCAATCAATGTTTAGTGTTAATCCGAAAATCTCAATCCTTTTAAAGACTTGATCTTTAAAGACTTACTATTTGAGCAATTCTTTCCTACAAAGCCAGGCACGCAAAGGCAGTTGTAGTCATTCACTCCGTCTGTACATGTTCCGTTGTTTAGACACGGGTTTGGATAACAGTCATCAGTGTCTGAAGCGAAAAAAGGACATGGTAAGGATTGACGGCAATATGATGTTCATATCTACAAGGAACACATAGTTATTCAAGATTTACATGTTGAATTCATTCAAGGCATATTGTTTAATCCCACATGGACACTCCACAAGGGAAATTCTTTTAAAACTTCTCTTGTCCAAATAAGTAATGGCCAAGGCATAATGATGTATTGACTTGCCTTTTGTGTGTATAGAGGGATGGTCCTATTAAGTTTCAAAAGAGGTAACAAAACTTCATATGATTCTGTAAGTTATACAAAACGACTTTTCCCAAAGAACCGAGCGAGGTCATGAGCCGAGTTACTTGGAAAACGAGAACTACTTACTTTTCAGTTTTAAGCCCAAAATGTCAATACTTTTAAAGACTTGATTTTAAAAGGCTTACTATTTGAGCAATTCTTTCCTTCAAAGCCAGGCACGCAAGTGCAGTTGTAGTCATTCACTTGGTCTGTACATGTTCCGTTGTTGAGACACCGGTTTGGATAACAGTTATCAATGTCTAAAGAAACAATAGGACATTGTGAGGATTAAGGACAGTAAAATATCCATATTTACACAGAACGGATAATTATACAAGATTTACTTGTTGCATCAATTAAACGCATTCAGTTTCATTCCTTAAGGCACTTGAGTAGGGAAATTTTTTTGAAAATAGTCTTCCCTCAATTAGTAATGACCAAGACATAATTATGTATTTATCTGCCTTTTTCTGTGTATGGGGGGATGTTCCTATTAAGTTCCAAAAGAGGTAAGAAAAAATGCATATCTTAAAACGAACGGCCTTTCAAAAATACCGAGCGAGGTCGTGCAGCGCTTTACTTGGAATACGATTACCATTCCCTGTTCAGTGTTAATCCGAATATCTTAATCGTTTTAAAGACTTGATTTTTAAAGACTTACTATTTGAGCAATTCTTTCCTACAAAGCCAGGCACGCAAGTGCAGTTGTAGTCATTCACTCCGTCTGTACATGTTCCGTTGTTTAGACACGGGTTTGGATAACAGTCATCAGTGTCTGAAGAGAGAAAAGGACATGGTAAGAAATGACAATAATAAAATATCCATATCTACACGAAATGAAAGGCATTCAATTTAATTCCACATAGGCACTCCAGAAGAGAAATTGTGTTGAAACTAATCTTGCCGAAATTAGTAATTGCCAAGGCATAATTATGCATTGAGTTAGCATTTTCTGTTAAAAGAGGGATGATCCTATTAAGTTTCAAAAGAGGTGAGAAAAAATGCATATCTTAAAACGGCTTTTCCAAAAATACCGAACGAGGTCGTGCGTCGATTTACTTGGAATACGATTACCAATTACTGTTCAGTGTTAATCCGAAAATCTCAATCCTTTTAAAGACTTGATTTTTAAAGACTTACTATTTGAGCAATTCTTTCCTACAAAGCCAGGCACGCAAGTGCAGTTGTAGTCATTCACTCCGTCTGTACATGTTCCGTTGTTTAGACACGGGTTTGGATAACAGTCATCAGTGTCTGAAGAGAAAAAAGGACATGGTAAGGATTGACGGCAATAAAATGTCCATATCTATACAAGGAACACAGAGTTATAGAAGATTCACATGACGAATTTATTCAAGGCATATTGTTTAAGTCCACATGGACAATACAGAAGGGAAATTCTTTTGAAACTTCTCTTGTCCAAATAAGTAATGGTCAAGGCATAATTAGGTATTGACTTGCCTTTTTTGTGTATAGAGGGATGGTCCTATTAAGTTTCAAAAGAGGTAACAAAACTTCATATGATTCTGTAAGTTATACAAAACGACTTTTCCCAAAGAACCGAGCGAGGTCGTGCGCCGAGTTACTTGGAAAACGATAACTATTTACTTTTCAGTTTTAATCCCAAAATGTCAATACTTTTAAAGACTTGATTTTAAAATTCTTACTGTTTGAGCAATTCTTTCCTACAAAGCCAGGCACGCAAGTGCAGTTGTAGTCATTCACTTGGTCTGTACATGTTCCGTTGTTTAGACACGGGTTTGGATAACAGTCATCAATGTCTAAAGAAACAAAAGGACATTGTGAGGATTAAGGACTGTAAAATATCCATATGTACACGGAAAGGATAATTATGCAAGATTCACCTGTTGCATCAATTAAACGCATTCAGTTTCATTCCTTAAGGCACTTAAGTAGGGAAATTTTTTTTGAAAATAGTCTTCCCTCAATTAGTAATGACCAAGACATAATTATGTATTTATCTGCCTTCTTCTGTGTATGGGGGGATGTTCCTATTAAGTTTCAAAAGAGGTAAGAAAAATGCATATCTTAAAACGAACGGCCTTTCCAAAAATACCGAGCGAGGTTGTGCGGCGCTTGACTTGGAATACGATTACCATTCACTGTTCAGTGTTAATCCGAATATCTTAATCGTTTTAAAGACTTGATTTTTAAAGACTTACTATTTAAGCAATTCTTTCCTACAAAGCCAGGCACGCAAGTGCAGTTGTAGTCATTCACCCTGTCTGTACATGTTCCGTTGTTTAGACACGGGTTTGGATAACAGTCATCAGTGTCTGAAGAGAAAAAAGGACATGGTAAGAAATGACAATAATAAAATATCCATATCTACACGAAATGAAAGGCATTCAGTTTAATTCCACATGGGCACTCTAGATGAGAAATTGTGTTGAAACTAATCTTGCCGAAATTAGTAATGGCCTAGGCATAAATATGTATTGAGTTCCGATCTTCTGTTAAAAGAGGGATGGTCCTATTAAGTTTCAAAAGAGATAAGAAAAAAATGCATATCTTAAAACGGCTTTTCCAAAAATACCGAACGAGGTCGTTCGTCCATTTACATGGAATACGATTACCATTTACCGATCAGTGCTAATCCAAAAATTTAAATAATTTAAAAGACTTGATTTTTAAAGACTTACTCTTTGAGCAATTTTTTCCTACAAAGCCAGGCACGCAAGTGCAGTTGTAGTCATTGACTTCGTCTGTACATGTTCCGTTGTTTAGACAGGGGTTTGGATAACAGTCATCAGTGTCTGAAGAGAAAAAAGGACATGGTAAGAAATGACAATAATAAAATATCCATCTTTACACAAAATGAAAGGCATTCAGTTTAATTCCACATAGGCACTCTAGTAGAGAAATTGTGTTGAAACTAATCTTGCCTAAATTAGTAATCGCCAAGGCATAATTATGCATTGAGTTCCCATTTTCTGTTAAAAGAGGGATGGTCCTATTAAGTTTCGAAAGAGGTTAGATAAAATCCATGTCTTAAAACGGCTTTTCCAAAAATACCGAACGAGGTCGTTCGTCCATTTACTTGGAATACGATTACCATTTACTGTTCAGTGTTAATCCAAAAATATTAATTGTTTTAAAGACTTGATTTTTAAAGACTTACTATTTGAGCAATTCTTTCCTACAAAGCCAGGCACGCAAGTGCAGTTGTAGTCATTCACTCCTTCTGTACATGTTCCGTTGTTTAGACACGGGTTTGGATAACACTCATCAATGTCTAAAGAAACAAAAGGACATTGTGAGGATTAAGGACAGTAAAATATCCATATGTACACGGAACGGATAATTATGGAAGATTCACTTGTTGCATCAATTAAACGCATTCAGGTTCATTCCACAAGGCACTTCAGTGGGGAAATTTGTTTGAAAATAGTTTTGTCTCAATTAGTAATGACCAAGACATAATTATGTATGTATTTGCCTTCCTCTCTGTATGGAGGGATGGTCCTATTAAGTTTCAAAAGAGGTAAGAAAAAATGCATATCTTAAAACGAACGGCCTTTCAAAAATACCGAGCGAGGTCGTGCGGCGCTTTACTTGGAATACGATTACCATTCACTGTTCAGTGTTAATCCGAATATCTTAATCGTTTTAAAGACTTGATTTTTAAAGACTTACTATTTGAGCAATTCTTTCCTACAAAGCCAGGCACGCAAGTGCAGTTGTAGTCATTCACTCCGTCTGTACATGTTCCGTTGTTTAGACACGGGTTCGGATAACAGTCATCAGTGTCTGAAGAGAAAAAAGGACATGGTAAGAAATGACAATAATAAAATATCCATATCTACACGAAATGAAAGGCATTCAGTTTAATTCCACAAAGGCACTCTAGTAGAGAAATTGTGTTGTAACTAATCTTGCCGAAATTAGTAATCGTTAAGGCATAATTAGGTATTGAGTTCCCATTTTCTGTTAAAAAAGGGATGGTCCTATTAAGTTTCCAAAGAGGTAAGAAAAAATCCATATCTTAAAACGGCTTTTCCAAAAATACCGAACGAGGTCGTTCGTCCATTTACTTGGAATACGATTACCATTTACTGTTCAGTGTTAATCCAAAAATCTCAATTGTTTTAAAGACTTGATTTTTAAAGACTTACTATTTGAGCAATTCTTTCCTACAAAGCCAGGCACGCAAGTGCAGTTGTAGTCATTCACTCCGTCTGTACATGTTCCGTTGTTTAGACACGGGTTTGGATAACAGTCATCAGTGTCTGAAGAAAAAAAAGGACATGGTAAGGATTGAGGACAATAAAATATCCATATCATATCTACAAGGAACACATAATTATACACTGAAGATTCACTTGACGCATCAACTAAAGGCATTCAGCTTTATTGCACATGGGCACTCCACGAGGGAAATTCTTTTGAAACTAATCTGGCCCAAATTAAAAATGGCCATGGCATAACTATGAATTAATTTGCCTTTTTCCTTGTGTAGAGGGATCTTCTTATTAAGTTTTAAAAGAGGTAAGGAAACTTGGGTCTGTAACTTATGCAAAACGACTTTTTCAAAAGGAGCGAGCGAGGTCGTGCGGCGTTGAAGTTGAAATACGATTACCATTCACTGTTCAGTGTTAATGGGAAAAACTCAATTCCTTTAAAGACTTGATTTTTAAAGACTTACTATTTGTGCAATTCTTTCCTACAAAGCCAGGCGCGCAAGTGCATTTGTAGTCATTCACTCCGTCTGTACATGTTCCGTTGTTTAGACACGGGTTTGGATAACAGTCATCAGTGTCTAAAGAGAAAAAAAGGACATGGTAAGAAATGACAATAATAAAATATTCATATCTACACGAAATAAAAGGCATTCAATTTAATTCCACAGGGCACTCTAGAAGAGAAATTGTGTTGAAACTAATCTTGCCGAAATTAGTAATCGCAAAGGCATAATTATGCATTAAGGACGGTGCTCACTAATGGGAAGTATTTTTTCCCAGATAATGACTATGTGAGACAAGTAGATCATATCAGGGGCTATTGAAATCCATAAAGAAAACTGGGGATAACCACTTTTTTTTCAGAGATAACTGCGCTTCAATATGGAGAAAAACGCTGAATAGGCGTTTTTTAGAAAAATGATAAAAAGTTTTTTTTTCCCAAAATTTCAGAGTGTACACGTGAACTGGCACAAATGCAATGATAATTGTAACAAGGTTTCGAAATAAGCAACAAATGATAATTTAACAACTGCTCTTTATACGTCTTTTTTTTTTGTGGAAATATCAGCACAACTGGGAAGTTATCTGCAGTTAACCCTCTCCACGCGTTTGCCGCAAAAATAGTGTAAACGACATTTTCCCCGAACCAAAAATTGATCATTTGCTGAGTAGGCTTATTACTTTCATTTGGTAAGATAAAAAGTAGGCGTTACCACGCGTTTTTAGAAGTTAAATTGGTTGTTTTCGGCCTTAACTTAATTGCTTTGGGGGTTATTTACAATTTTCCCCATCCCCTCCCGGTCAGTTTCACTATATCCCAGAGTACTCCGCGTTGAGTGAAGCAATCCACAATGGCTGACAGTCAGAGAAAACAACAACACACGGAGGAGAGCAAAAACAGAAAGTGAAGCAGGAAATTTCATGGACTTTAAGGAAAACAAATTATACTGTTTCATTCAACTGGAGCTTCTCCGTCCCAACCATTTAACAAAAAGTTTTGGAGAAGAGCAATCTCCAAGGTATTAGAGACTACTTGCAGCGCACATAGAGTAGTATAGCGAGCTCAAGATCCACGGCTGGTGCTGTAAACAAACTACTATACTGTAGCGGATAATAGTCGACAGGGACTCCAAGAGTACTCCTTCAATCGTTTGCTTACCTGAACATGTCCTCAAGATTCTTTTAACTGTAGATGTAATATGGATTGTAAACCTTCTATCGTTTTTTCATCATTTTACCGGGTACCTCGATCCTATATGTTATTAAACTTGCACACATTCAATGAGCTTATATCTGTACTTTGCGCTATCTCTTTCGGGCTTTGCCACAAGTGTCATATGACATAAATGATTTGGATAGACTCAAGTTCCATACACGAGCACTCTTTTAAAAAAGCTGAATAGTGTGAAAGTAGTTGTACCGAATGCGTTTATGTAGCCTCATGTATACACTGGGCTATAACGATCATTTTTTATATTTCGTTTTGATTTTTTTTACTGTAGCATTTTGTGTCATTATCATTCACTATTGTTCGTTTATAAATGTTAATTTTAGACTTAACAGTGTCTGTTAAACCTAAGAAAGTCTTAGAATGGAACTACTTTATTTTACCTTCCATCTTTAGTTTGTAAACAGCCAAACGGCAGCAATGCCTAACTGTCCAGATGTGTGGCGTGAAATTGAACCTTAAGAAATACTATCTACACGACAAGCTGCCAATGAGTCAATAATTTCAATGGTTAGTAATGCCAAAATGCTTAAATAACAATGATAATAGTAAAAAGCATAACAATTTTTTTACCATTTTTTCCACGATGAAAGCGTTTCCTTTGCGGTCCGCAACTATTTGTGAAGCTGCGATCTCAGCAATCCAAACAATCTTGTGATAGTTTTTTTCTTGTTTGTTCAACAAATAAAAGCCTCGAACTCTCCATAAAAGGGACATCTTTATGTACTCGAACGCTTTAAATCTATCTTCTGGTGAATAATTACATAAAATCTTAAAAAATTAAAGAAATATTCGGGAAAGTGTTTATAGCCGATTAGCCGATAAAACGCGTAGGACGCCAGTGAAAGGTAAGCTTACAGTTTCGGAGGACTTAGAGCTATTTTTCCTCTGATTTACTGATCCTTGCCTATTAAGGAATTTTTTAATACCCAAGCACTAAGCGTAACATCTTGAAGCAATAACTTTTGATGTTTTAGAATTGACTAATTTTTTTTAATTTGTTTGACTATAAAATGTTCGGTCACATCGATCATACGTAGAAACAGCAACATGCGCATACTTCTTCGGCTTTCATAGAACTGACAAGGTAAATAGAAGTTATTTTTCATCTGTTGAAAAACGACGCATATTTCCACAAGAAATAACTAAAACCTCCCAGACTTACAGGAGACAAAACCAGTCCGCGTGTCCTGCGTGTCCTAAATGTTGCGCATTTCTTTCGCGTCGCGCGCAACTACCTAGGCATGCGCAAAAAATGTGCGCAGTAACAATAGTGGGCACCGTCCTTAAGTTAGCATTTTCTGTTAAAAGAGGGATGGTCCCATTAAGTTTAAAAAGAGGTAAGAAAAAATACATATGTTAAAACGGCTTTTCCAAAAATACCCAACGAGGTCGTGTGTCGATTTACTTGGAATACGATTACCAATCACTGTTCAGTGTTAATCCGAAAATCTCAATCCTTTTAAAGACTTGATTTTTAAAGACTTACTATTAGAGCAATTCTTTCCTACAAAGCCAGGCACGCAAGTGCAGTTGTAGTCATTCACTCCGTCTGTACATGTTCCGTTGTTTAGACACGGGTTTAGATAACAGTCACCAATGTCTAAAGAAAAAAAGGACATTGTCAGGATTGACGACAGTGAGACCATTTCTACACGGAACGCATAATTATACAAGATTAACTTGTCGCATTAATTAAAGGCATTCAGTTTTTTTTCACAAGGCACTTCACAAGGGAAATTCTTTTGAAGGTAATCTTGCCGAAATTAGTAATGCCCAAATGATAATTATGTATTGGTTTGCTTTATCCTTTGTAAAGAGTGATGGTTCTATTGAGTTATAAAAGGCGGAAGGAAACTTCATATCTGTAACTTATGCAAAACGACTTTTCCAAAAGGACCGAGAGAGGTCTTGCACCAATTTACTTGGAATACGATTACCATTCACAGTTCAGTCTGAATCCGTCAATCTCAGTCCTTTTAAAGACTTGATTTTTAAAGACTTACTATGTGAGCAATTCTTTCCTATAAAGCCAGGCACGCAAGTGCAGTTGTAGTCATTCACTCCGTCTGTACATGTTCCGTTGTTTAGACACGGGTTTGGATAACAGTCGTCAGTGTCTGAAGAAAAAAACGGACATGGTAAGGTTTGATGACAATAAAATATCCATATCATATCTACAAGGAACACATAATTATACACTGAAGATTCACCTGACGCATCAACTAAAGGCATTCAGCTTTATTGCGCATGGGCACTCCACAAGGGAAATTCTTTTGAAACTAATCTGGCCCAAATTAAAAATGGCCATGGCATAACTATGAATTAATTTGCCTTTTTCCTTGTGTAGAGGGATCTTCTTATTAAGTTTTAACAGACGTAAGAAAACTTGGATCTGTAACTTACGCAAAACGACTTTTTCAAAAGGAGCGAGCGAGATCGTACGTCGCTGAACTTGGAATACGATTACCACTCACTGTTCAGTGTTAATCCGAAAATCTCAATTCTTTTAAAGACTTGGTTTTTTAAAGACTTACTATTTGAGCAATTCTTTCCTACAAAGCCAGGCACGCAAGTGCAGTTGTAGTCATTCACTCCGTCTGTACATGTTCCGTTGTTTAGACACGGGTTTGGATAACAGTCATCAGTGTCTGAAGAGAAAAAAGGACATGCTAAGGATTGACGGCAATAAAATGTCCATATCTACAAGGAACACATAGTTATAGAAGATTCACATGTCGAATTTATTCAAGGAATATTGTTTAATTCCACATGGACAATCCAGAAGGGAAATTCTTTTGAAACTTCTCTTGTCCAAATAAGTAATGGCCATGGCATAATGATGTATTGACTTGCCTTTTGTGTGTATAGAAGGATGGTCCTATTAAGTTTCAAAAGAGGTAACAAAACTTCATAGCGGAGCTCCACGCGCGCACCAAGCGCGCGCGTGGGCGGAGCCCCATTGCTAAGTAAATCTACCCATCCCAGAAAATTTGGTAATCACGTGACCGTACAGCGACCGACCGCCCGCCGTCCGTCCGCACCACAGGAAAACCAACATGAGAAGACACAAAGGGCTTGCACTGTAAGTATCCCGGAGAGCTCCATACAATTCCTTATAATTTTGTTATAAGGAATTGTATGGAGCTTTCGAGGAGACTTTTCTTAATTAGCTTAGGCGTGGCGGATTTTGTCACGTATGATCAGCGCGAGGTGTTTTTCCCGACACCCTTCTGTCAGGAAAAATTGTCATCATGTGAAAGCAAAACAGACACGATCTCGGCAGGCCGAAGCCGGCAAAAATAAAAGGCTTTTCTTCTTCCATTTCAGAGGTCAGTTTTGTTTCGATCTGGTCAAAAATCGGGTTTTTAGGTTGTAGGTAATAAAATATTGTCTTATTCTGTTCTCAAGGACCTTTAGGAAACGAGACAAACGAGATAATTGACAAGAGAAAGAAGCGTGAAAACGCTTTTTTAGAAGAAAATATTTTTTAATTCCCGCAGCAATTTGGCGAAATCGCGAAGCGCAATATATTCAGGTTCTTCCAAAGCCGTCATGATTAAGCAGTGTAATGCCATCACAACTAAAAATGAATACAGTTTGTATCGCAAAAGCCGCGAAAATAGAGCTGAAAAAAAAAGTGGATCGTAAAAATTATTAAAATCACCAAGAAACCGTCTCGCGGGAGCTTTGTTAAACAAACCGTTGGTACGGTTTATTTAACCTAACCTGGAAAAGGAGACGTCTGCACGCAGAATACATTTCATCCTACATGTAGTTGTGATTTCCAGAACGGACCTCGGGAGCCTCATTGCCGTAATATCTTCTACATTACAGAAACCACAGCAGAATCGCCAGAATCGCCCTGCTCGCGTGCTAACTTTCCGCTCCAATTCATGACTATACAGTACCAGTGAATTGTTTCAAAATTTAAAGCGGCCGAAACTTATTTCCATCAGCGCGTAGTTAGTTAGTTAAGCAATAATAATGCACAGCACTGTAAATAACACGGTTCTAGAATATCTGACGGCTTCGCGTTTTTTTCGTCGCTGCATGCGATTTAATCGCTTATAACCTAACAGAAAATGTAAATGTACCTGAAGGAAATACCGTGTATTACCTTACCTTAACGCTGTGATGTGTGTAAATTTGTCTTTTGCTATGGCTTTAGACAATACGACTTCTCCTGACTATCAATTGTGCGTCAAAACAAGCGCGATAATGAAATAGTCGAAGTGCCATGGTGTAGCACTTTATGACCAAGTTTTAACTGGAAAACTTGTTACCATCCCAAGTCTATGTTTGTAAGCTCTGCCTAAAGAATCACTGGGTTACACTGCACCCATGGGTGTGCCACATAAAGTGCAGCCTATGTTTGTTAGCTCTACCTAAAGAATCACTAGGTTACACTGCACCCATGGGTGTGCCACATAAAGTGCAGCCTATGTTTGTTAGCTCTACCTAAAGAATCACTGGGTTACACTGCACCCATGGGTGTCCCACCTAAAGTGCAGCCTATGTTTGTTAGCTCTACATAAAGAATAACTGGGTTACACTGCACCCATGAGTGTGCCACCTAAAGTGCAGCCTATGTTTGTTAGCTCTACCTAAAGAATCACTGGGTTACACTGCACCCATGGGTGTGCCACCTAAAGTGCAGCCTATGTTTGTTACCTCTACCTAAAGAATCACTAGGTTACACTGCACCCATGGGTGTGCCACCTAAAGTGCAGCCTATGTTTGTTAGCTCTACATAAAGAATCACTGGGTTACACTGCACCCATGGGTGTGCCACATAAAGTGCAGCCTATGTTTGTTAGCTCTGCCTAAAGAATCACTAGGTTACACTGCACCCATGGGTGTGCCACCTAAAGTGCAGCCTATGTTTGTTAGCTCTGCCTAAAGAATCACTGGGTTACACTGCACCCATGGGTGTGCCACCTAAAGTGCAGCCTATGTTTGTTATGCACCTATCAATGTTAAGCCCGAGGGGGGGGACCCCGGGCATATGTGGGACATTTGACCTCTTTTGCCTTCCCCACCCTCGGGAGTTTGACTTAGAATCAGGGCCCCAGGGTGGGGACGTTTGCTTTTTTTTTGCGAGGAGGACTGGTAGCTAGTCACGTCTGTGCCGGCCATCTTGGAATTCACTGGAGCGCTGGCTGGAAAGCACGGCTGTTTTTGAGGTAAGCACTCAAGGTAAGCACTTGTATGACTTGAAATGCTAGATTTGTAAAGCTCAACATGGTATACAGCTCGCGTTGTTCCTGTAAGATTGAGACAATTATATTTGATTTTTTCACGTGAAATGCTAGATTTGTTGATTATTTTCCTCGGATTACACAAAGCATCAAAGGAGTTTAAAATATAAAAAAAAGCTTGGCAATTTATATCAATTATTTGTAAAATATACACAACAACTACTATGAACTTTAGGGATATTACTTCCCTAAGGTGGGGATATTTGATCTTATTTGACCCAGTTTTGGGGCCCCACGCTGGGGACTTTGACCAAAAAATCTTCTGAAAAGTCAAATGCCCCACATATGCCCGGGGTCCCCCCCCCCCTCGGGCTTAACATTGATAGGTGCATTAGCTCTGCCTAAAGAATAACTAGGTTACACTGCACCCATGGGTGTGCCACCTAAAGTGCAGCCTATGTTTGTTAGCTCTACCTAAAGACTCACTGTCTTACACTGTACTCACGGACGTTTGCCTCGCGCTCTCTTCAAAGGCAAAAAAGCTATAGTCTGTTTGGCCAAAAATCAAGCTTTGTTTCCCCTAAAAATCTGACACCATATTAGGGCCCCGAAAGACGTTAAAAGTTCGTCCATAATAGAAGAGTGTTTTGCTAGAGTTAACAAACGTTTGGCTTACATGAGTTTCAATATAAAGGTGCAAAAACTTATCAGCATAATTATAGCACACAAACATTGTCATCAAACTCCTGGCATGTAGCCTGAATAACTCAAGCAAATATAATGAATAAAGCATGTAACGAGAACTAGTCGTCAAATGGTCTCGTTAAGTAAATTATACTTCACTTTGCGAAAGAAATTTATCGTTTGTATCCGTTTTACGCATCGAAAAAGCGAGGAGTCATCGCATGACATTAGGTAACAGAGGTAATACTCACGAGTTTCACGAATTCCAATTACACGATTTTTCGCCGAGTAACAAATTTAAAACTTCAATTCTTACCTTACGTGGTCGGTTCATTTACCTTACATTTGCCAAGACTAATAAACATGAACAAAACGATGAAATCCGGCACTATTCTTTCAGAAGTAGCAAGCCGCATGAAGTGAAATCCACTGATATGCGATGCATTCTCACTACAAATATAAACATTTGTCGTGAAGAAAAGACGACGAGGAGGAAAAAATTCCAGATCTTCGCCTCGGCAATGTATTCCGGCTACCAAGCCGGCGTATCTCCAGAAGGTGGACTCGAAGTGGGACAAACCTTGTGATTTTTTTAGGAGCCCTTTGCGTGCAAACTAATTTATTCTGGCGCGAAATGAAGATTAAGAAAATGTATCTGAAATCTAATACACGACAAGAAAATTTTCGCACTTTCGAGGAGCGCGACACATTAAATGGGATTAAGTCGGATTAGCTGCCCGCGGAGAAAACTTCCCTGCGTGCGATGGTACTTCCAGTAAAAAGCCTCTGTGTCCTCTCATGGTTTACTCTCACACTTTTAGCTAGATTGGAAGCCCAAGAGAAAACTAATTGCACAGGCTACACATCAATGTTGTGATCAATTGACAGCTATCAAAACAGGGCATCCGCTGACCAGTATCACCTGACCGTACCGCGGGCTCAAGTGTCGACCCATCGAGGTCGAGTATTTTTTAAAGTTATCCGCTGACAAATTACCAGCTTCAAATGATCGCAGGCTCAAGTTTATTTTTTCCAAGGATTCATATCAAATATGTTGTGTTTATGTCACTATGGCCCCGCACGATTAGGATTTTGATTTCAAACTGACCTCGGAAGCGAAAATTCATCCAGTTTTTTTAAAAGTACAGGCGGGGAAGACCTTATCTTACCATGGTCACGCGTTGGTCACGCTCTAAGTCCAATTTTTATACTCTGATTGGTCAAAATTTGACAGGTGAGTTTATGCGGAAAAATTATTCAGCATCTTGAAAGTAGTTTACTTTGACAGCTGAAGCTGACAGAGTTTTGTGTCAACTTGTGATGTTTTTAACTGTCTTTTTCCTCTGGAGGTACAAAATGAAATACAACTGCTATCAAGAGTCTTCTGTTATTCATGGCTGGTTTGTTTACTGGGTTTTGGAAGAGAAATGCGTCGCTTGTGAAAATTCGGTAATTCGATTTCGGAGGGCATCGTTTTCGTTTTTCACCTTGCTTTTATGCGTAAGAGGGTTTAAAAGTCTCAAGCAACTGTGGCCTCCCTTGCTAGCTTCCAGGAACTGAATCTCGAATGGTAAGCCTAAGTAATTATTGTATTTGATGTTTGTGTTTCATGAAGTCTTGCACAGTTCACGCTGACAGTTTATGCGGCAAGTTTATGCCCGTTTGCAGGATTTGAGTCAATGATCTGACCTAGTATCAGGTTTGATATAAGCTTACAGAACTTTAAAGAGCCTTCAGATATATTTGCTCACCACAAATAGAAAGAAAACGTTCCGAAGAATATTTAGTTATAAATTTGGCTATAGAAAGAAAACTTTGAGCGATTTTCTTGCTTCGAGGAGTTCACCTTCAAAAACAGTAAACGCCGCGCCGGGAAACCGGCTAAAACATAAACTTAACTTAAAGACTCAGGATTTTTAGAGACACTTTAATACTTGTCTTCGTGAATGAAAATTGTTGTCTCTGTAAATGTTTCACGGAATTATATCTCTTTTTTTGATTGTTAGTAGTCTCTCTTGCAATTTTAATCGCTTGTCCGTGCCGTTTGTTTTCATCGTTCATGACCATCGCTTGCAGGAGTACTCAAAAATGTCGCGCGTATCAAACGCTTTATAAGATTACACATCGTTATATAACTGAAACCATTAAATAACAAAACAAATAATAATAAATTCGCTATTATGTTGAAGCGTAACTCTGTTAAAGTTCATTCAAACACTCGACCACACTGACAGCTCGCACTATAGAAACGAGAACCAGCTGGCCGTATGGGTGATTTTGGAAATTTTCTGAAATTTTTGAACGGTTTGGCTCGTCCTGAATATTGACTGAGTGCAATTTGTCTTGAAAAATTGTGAAATACCGCATTCTGTCCGAGCTCTGTATGATAAATAGTACTGTTTCACCTCAAATGTGGTGTATAAAAATTATAAAAGGTTGGTTTAAACACCCCCAGATTTGTTGGCAAGAATTTGTAAAGTAAACCTGTCGAACGCAAAAAAATTTGGCGTGATTTGTTTTCCAAGAATTTGTTTTCGAGGCCTAATCTACTGTGATCTTGAATGTGATCGAAGATGTTTGCTATTTTTTGGGTGTACATATAAGGTTATGAATTCGATGTAAGATGTTTCACTCTAAAATAACTTAGCCTTTCCCTCAAAAGTGACATGAATGTACGTGGCCTTAAGTTAAATGATTTGTGGATTGAAAAGGTTATTGTTTGATTTAAATTATAAATTTATTAAAATTGGAGCTTCGCTTTTAGCCCTGGCTAAATCTATATATTATGACTCTATAAGTTATACAAAACGACTTTTCCCAAAGAACCGAGCGAGGTCGTGGGTCGATTTACTTGGAATACGATTATGCATTGAGTTAGCATTTTCTGTTAAAAGAGGGATGGTCCTATTAAGTTTAAAAAGAGGTAAGAAAAAATGCATATCTTAAAACGGCTTTTCCAAAACTGTGGTACAGTCCGCCTGCCATTATGATGTCACGTCTCACGTCAGTGACTTTCAAAATGGCGAACAGAGTGTTCATCGAAGAGACGGACAAAAATTTCGATTTTATCACGGAAATACTATTCCGATCTCTTGGATTTAGAGATTTAAAGGTTTCTATTGTCATAAAAAACTAGACTTAAGTACTTTTTTGGAATGAAATGTCCAGTGGTTTAATGAACTTTAAAGATTCCTTTCTATCATTGAACAAATTTTACGGACAATCATACCGACCGGTCACACTTTTGAGGGCCATTGCACAGCAGGATTGAAGAGTTTAGACACAGCAATAGGAGGTTTATTAAAGGATTATTATACTTCACATTGCGCGTATTTTCAGCTCTTCAGAGCCAGTGGAGCCTTGTGTAGAGGGATCTTCTTATTACGTTTTAAAAGAGGTAAGGAAAGTTGGATCTGTAACTTATGCAAAACGACTTTTTTAAAAGGAGCGAGCGAGATCGTGCGGCGTTGAAGTTGAAATACGATTACCATTCACTGTTCAGTGTTAATCCGAAAAACTCAATTCTTTTAAAGACTGAATTTTTAAAGACTTACTATTTGAGCAATTCTTTCCTACAAAGCCAGGCACGCAAGTGCAGTTGTAGTCATTCACTCCGTCTGTACATGTTCCGTTGTTTAGACACGGGTTTGGATAACAGTCATCAGTGTCTGAAGAGAAAAAAGGACATGGTAAGAAATGACAATAATAAAATATCCATATCTACACGAAATGAAAGGCATTCAATTTAATTCCACATGGGCACTCCAGAAGAGAAATTGTGTTGAAACTAATCTTGCCGAAATTAGTAATCGCCAAGGCATAATTATGCATTGAGTTAGCATTTTCTCTTAAAAAGGGGATGGTCCTATTAAGTTTCAAAAGAGGTAAGAAAAAATGCATATCTTAAAACGGCTTTTCCAAAAATACCGAACGAGGTCGTTCGTCGATTTACTTCTTTGATTATTATTTACCGGTAACGTCAGTAACGCAATACCCTTGTGAAGCGGAAGATTGATAGCCTGTGTACAGACCCCCCTCCCCTCCGATTTTTATTGAGGGGAGGGGGTCTGTATAGACAGTTTCAGCAGTTCTGAAAAATTCCATAAGAATTTCCCGAGAATTCGTAGGGAAATCAACGTAAAGTAATCTGCTAAGAGATAATTCTCGTGAAATCCTAGGGTAGGACTGTGTGGAGATATTCTTGCTTTTTCAGGGTAATTTTCGACGGTTTTGTATTCATTTTATTTCATGAATTTAAGTGGTATTTCCATCCTGTTTTTGTACTGTTTTTATGCTCTTTTTTACAATTTTGTACTGTTTTTGCATTTTTGCATTCTATTTTGGATGTATTTTCACAATATATGCGTGCTATTGCTTATCTTCTTCTGTGGTATTTTAATACTATTTTCAAAGTATTTTTATTGTATTTGCAAATACGAGTATTTTACTAAATTTCGAAACCGATTAAACAGCTGTTAAAATATATTTTAAAGCCTAACATTTTAATAGCGTTTTAAACGGGTTAAAACACCTTTAAAATCAGTCGAAAAATATATTAAAAATATATTTTTGGACCTATTTTAAACCTGTTTTTTTCAAAATACGTTTAAAATTGCCATTAAAAATAGTTTTAAAATAGTATAGCAAATTAAAATATGTTTCTGAAACTGTTTTTCGCCTGTTTTTATTCGGATTTATAAGGTACTTAAAAACTGTTTTAGACATATTTTTAGCCTTTAAACTGGAATTTTTTATATATTTTAAACGAATTTAAAAATACTTAAAAAATTCTTTTTTAATAGCGTTTTAAACAGTTTAAAACACCTTTAAAAGCAGTCGAAAAAATACTTTAAAAATACACTTTTCACCCTATTTACAACCTATTTCACAAAACAGGTTGAAAACAATTTTCAAAAATGGCTTAAAAATACATTCAAAACAGTGTTGGATTGGTAAGGGTGGTAAGAAATTTGTATGTAAACTATTTCAGTGTTTCTACCGCAATTAAAAGACGTATCAATTATATTTAGAAGTTTCCTTCATTCTTACGTAATGTTCAATAACTGACCGCTAATCCGGCGCTACTTTCTTTAGACCGGGGGGGGAGGGAGGAAGGTGTCTTTAAGGAAATCTGTGGTACAGTCCGCCTGCCATTATGATGTCACGTCTCACGTCAGTGACTTTCAAAATGGCGAGCAAAGTGTTCATCGAAGAGACGGATAAAAATTTCGATTTTATCACGGAAATACTGTTCCGATCTCTTGGATTTAGAGATTTAAAGGTTTCTATTGTCATAGAAAACTAGACTTAAGTACTTTTTTGGAATGAAATGTCCAGTGGTTTAATGAACTTTAAAGATTCCTTTCTATCATTAAGTAAATTTTACGGACAATCATACCGACCGGTCACACTTTTGAGGGCCATTGCACAGCAGGATTGAAGAGTTTAGACACAGCAATAGGAGGTTTATTAAAGGATTATTAAATAAGCGATATATAACGATATTTGCGAGCTTCTTAGCTTTTCCACGACCTCGCTCATCCAAATAACTGTCGTATCCCTTGCTAATTTGCACAAGCGACCCGAGACTCTTTCCCGTTACTATGTGACGTCATACTGGCAGGCGGAGTGGGTCAAGAAACTTAGGTGGAAAACAATAGAGTTACCTTCCCCCCCTGCTTTAGACAGACTTACCTGACGAAGAACTTGATGAGACGATTGTTGAGAAACCTAGTGGGAAATTTCAACGTAAATTATTTGTTTCTACATTAAAAGAGCTATTAATTTAGAAGTTTCCTTCATTCTTACGTAATGTTCAATAACTGACCGCTAATCTGCTACTGTCTTTAGACAGACTTACCTGATGAAGAACTTGATGGGACGATTGTTGAGAAACTTAGTGGGACATTTGAACGTAAATTATTTGTTTCTACATTAAAAGAGGTATTAATTTAGAAGTTTCCTTCATTCTTACGTAATGTTCAATAACTGACCGCTACTCCGCTACTGCCTTTAGACAGACTTACCCGATGAAGAACTTGATGGGACGATTGTTGAGGAACCTAGTGGCAAATTTGTATATAAATTATTTCAATGTTTCTACCACAGTTAAAAGAGGTATCAATTATATTTAGAAGTTTCCTTCATTCTTACGATGTTCAATAACTGACCGCTAATCCGCTACTCTCTTTAGACAGACTTACCTGATAAATGACTTGTTGGCACGACTGTTGAGGAACCTAGTGGCAAATTTTTAGGTAAATTATTGGTTTCTACATTAAAAGAGGTATCAATTTAGTGGTTTCCTTCATTCTTACGTAATATTCAATAACTAACCACTAATCCGCTACTCTCTTTAGACAGACTTACCGGCCGCAGATGAAGGACTTGTTGGCACGACTGTTGAGGAACCTAGTGGCAAATTTGAACGTAAATTATTTGTTTCTACGTTAAACGAGGTATCAGTTATATTTAGAAGTTTCCTTCATTCTTACGTAATGTTCAATAACTGACCGCTAATCCGGCGCTACTGTCTTTAGACCGGGGGAGAGGTGTCTCCAAGGAAATCTGTGGTACAGTCCGCCTTCCATTATGACGTCACGTCTCACGTCAGTGACTTTTAAAATGGCGAGCAAAGTGTTCATCGAAGAGACGGACAAAAATTTCGATTTTATCACGGAAATACTGTTCCGATCTCTTGGATTTAGAGATTTAAGGGTTGTCATAGAAAACTAGACTTAGTACGTTTTTGGAATGAAATGTCCAGTGGTTTAATGAACTTTAAAGACTCCTTTCTATCATTGAGCAAATTTCAGTACCGGCAATCATACCGACCGGACACACTTTTGAGGGCCAATGCACAGCAGGATTGAGGAGTTTAGACACAGCAATTGGAGGTACAACAAAGGATGTATTATACTTTACATTGCGCGTATTTTCAGCTCTTCAGAGCCAGTGGAACCTTATATCATTCCTCTCAAAGTTCGCTTAGCTGTAGCGTTGAAAGAGGAAGCTAAATGACAGGTATTTGTGAATGACTGTGAGCATTGAATCTTGTTGCATTTTTGCATTTTAATACTGTATTGGGCATACACCTGTAATTCTGTAATTAAATCCCGAAAACCAATAAAAGGTTTTGTTTAATTAATTTTTTGTGGCAAACCCAGTGGAGATTTTAGTGTAATAATATTGATGATTAAGAAGATGTACAAAAGGCAAGTTTAAATTTCGCCAGTGGGTCACTGGTGGGTGTTGGGTGTAAACTAGTACAGTTTGTGGTGTACTGTGTGTTGTTTGTCATGATGTCAACTAACATTGAAAAAAATTCAGCTGTTTCAGAGGAGCGACATGTCTTGACAGCTTATGGTTTTTTCTGGCCGTAAGCTTGGCCAGTATACAGATCAAGAGCTTTTGAAATCCCTTTTCCAAAATAAAACACCGGACTTAAGCTTAAAATATATATTGATCCAAGTGCATGACCAGCATGGTCAGCAGTAAGAATAAAGGAAAAAAGGCCAAAAGGAAAAATAGTGTAAAAAAAAATCGGCCAATCAGAAAAAAAAAACGGTATAAAGAAAAAGAAAACAGCGTCGCCGGGAGTCGAACCCGGTTTACTTACACGTGCAAGCAACTCCTTGACCACTACACCATAGTGACACACATGAATTGATAAATTTTTTGTCATATCAAAACAATTTTTCGCTGCCATAGACACTATTTGAAGCTGGTGGAGCTGTATTTATCAGGAATTCAAATAAACATTTGAGGAAAATTAACTTAAGTGCGTATTTCAGAGCTATTTCGCGCGAGTCACCCCGGCGTGAGTTCACCCTGGCTGTTGTACCGGGGCGAGAATTTCACTTCGGTAGGAAATCTCGCAACGATGTCAAGTAAACGCGAAACGACCACGCGTTTCGGTGTGAAATCGGTCTGCCGGTAGACTGGAACGGGTAGCGCATGCGTAATGTTTCATTTTGAATCTTACGTGTATTTTATCAAGTGTACCTTTAAATAACGAGATATGACTTCTTTGAACTTTCTTTGAACTACGAACTTTTCCATGGTCACCAAGAAAGGTTAAAGTAGGTACATTTTACCCCTTCACACTCAAAGTAGCTGGGTTCCAAGTACACTTACATTATACTTGAAGCTCTAGTGTGAAGCCAACAAATAAGCTGACACTTCAGTCAGAGATTCAAAGAACAATACATGCGTCGGCATCCTTTGTAAGCGAGCAAGTGGTCATGGGACCCGCGATTTTGCGGCCGACGCGGATCAATAGGCGGAATTGTGTAATGCAGCATATCACAGTGGTGCCTTATTCTTGAATACATTTATCTACTAGTTTAATTTAGTTCTCGCGGTGAAAACACTGGAGCATTGGCACTTTTTCGTGTTGATAGCTAATAGTTGTTTCTTTGTAAAATGACGTAATCAGTGACATAATAAATGTGTTAAAATAACCTTATTGTGTACTCTTTCGAGCAAGTTAATTTCGTGTTTTGTTTTTGCTGACTTTTGACATCAAAATAGCTAATTAAAAGGACTAGAGAAAAGTGTCTAGACTTAAGTTACTAGGTGGCACAAGTTATCAAGTTACGCATGCTACGAGGTTACACAAATTACGATATTACAGTAGTTACAAGGTTACACGACTCAACAAAATTGACAACGTGAGAATGACTGATAACCGACAATTTGACCAACAATAAATGACGATCTAAATGCGCCATTGACATCACGGCTTAACTGACAGGCGACCACTAACATAGCGATTTCATTGACAAATCAGGTCATGAGTAACTAGTCGGTATAATGCCATCAACTGACGTCATACGACATACTTTGACTACCGCATAGGTTATCGAAAGGCGGGGCCACTGCCAATAATCCTATTCAAG